GCGAGTATACAGCCACGGGATATCGAGAGAGAGAGAGAGAGAGAGAGAGAGAGAGAGAAAACGACCGCTGCAAGTGACGCATGCAGTACACGTATTAGATGAAGTGCCAGGCTGTATATACAAATGCTGATGTCACGCGTTCCGCCATTCCGATATGTTAGCAGGTTTGATATGTGGCGTTTAACGTTCCCAAAACCACCACCTGATTAGGAGAGACGCCGCCGTATAGTGGAGGGCTCCGGGAATTTCGACCACCTGGGGTTCTTTAACGTGGATGTGTTAGTATATAAGCTGGTATAGGTTATATATCCTTCCACGACTCGCTTGCAAAATTGTTCCCTCAAAACGCGTTTTGCTTACGAAACCGCAGCACAACCCTCTTGAGCGCGGTTGTTTTATTTAGCGCTGCCTACACAATGGTGTATAGCTATATAGGGTAGCACACCGGGCCTCTGCCCCCCTCCCATGATTTTTTTATTATTAATTTATATACCATGGCATACAAAGGACAAAATGACAATCGACCTCCTTTTCCAGCCCGGTCCCCCCACTTCAAATAAAAAAGTGCCACCCCCCCCCCTCAAAAAAAAAATTTCTTCCTACGCCGCTGTGCCTACAAAACTTCCATAGAAAGCCACGGCTCAGCTCTGTACTCTTTCCCAATTAAAGGAGATTTACGTTAAATAATTTTACACCAGGACACCCGACGGGTGTGCTTTAATTCATAGGAGTTGTACAGCTTACACTTAATCGGTGCACTTTTCTCGCCACACATTGCGAAAACGTTCCGTCTTGAGCGTTCGGTGCTTTCATATACGTGTACACATCAACAACGTTTCGCACGCCTTGCACGATAAGAACAGAAAGATGAGATCGGAATGCACCCAGAAGAAGCTAATGATGGCAAGTTATGTACGAGGCCTGTCCGTAACGATACAGGTCCTGGTTAAAAAAAGAAAAAAATAAGATCTGACCGGTATACATACGTGTAATGATATCTAGGGTGTCACGTCCCAAAACCACGATATGATCGTAAGATACGCCGTATAGTGGAGGGCTCCGGAAATTTCGACCACCAGGGGTTCTTACTGACATGGCACGGTACACGAGTCTCAAAGAATTCGCCTCCATCGAAATGCGACCGCGATCGAAACAGCGACTCGGAGATCAGCGGCCGAGCACCGTACGCCACCGCGGCAGACGATCGGTACATGTTATAATATTCTTGAAAATAGTCTCCTACACGTGCTGCAAATGCTTCCTGAACGTCTCTGGCCTCTTTCAGAGTCTCCGTGACGGCCCGTCGAATGGCAGAACACTGTCGGAACGGGCACCTTTCATGTTTCTCTTCAGCACGTGAAGCGTATTGACTTTGGAATCATGTGAAAGAATAATTTGCTTTGAATATGAAAAAAAAAAAAGCTCGTCGCTCTCCTTAGTGTATCTTTAACCGTGCCGTCTTTCCACTACCGCGAACTTAAGCGCATGTGCCAAACACGCCGAAGGAAAATATTGAAAAACTATATATACGAGGGAGAACCCAAAGGAAGGGGCACCGGAACTAATCTATAGATAAGAGTTCTATAGATAAGATAATCTATAGATAAGAGTTCACGCAGCTTCTCAACCAGCTGGTATACCCAAAGATGGCAGCCTCGGTGACGTCAATGCACACTATGTATTCAAGGCAGTAGCGATGCATGCTAATGCATCGAATATTGAACAAAGACATGCTTGAGCGGTTTTTTCTTCTTCTTACGCTGCAATTATTATAAACCTCCAGAAGCGTATTAGAGTACAGATGGCTTGCAGCTAACGTTTCAAAAACAGCCATGATGGTGGACGAACATGGTGGGAGGCCAAGCGTGTGATATCGTGTTAGCGTTATCAGTACATCGCATACGGTTTTTTTTTCTGTTGTTGTTGTAGTTGTTGTTATACTGGCAAAGAGGCCAATAACATTCCGGCGGTGTACTTATCAGTTTCAAATCGGCTTAGTCATCACGATAAAATGCTACCTTGACGCATCAAAGACGTCATGTCGGCGCACCGGTAGCTTATGAACCTGCGTCTATGACATCGGGTGCAAGCTATCAATAGAGATCAAATACACTGTACACTCATGCCCCCAATATCCCCCCACTATCGAATATCCAATAAATTTCTGAATATATCAACTAAAGGCCCAGTATCGTAACAGGTAGGTCAAATGTTAGATCCGACGCTTCGCCAGAAATTATGGATGTTTCCAAGTACTTCGGAAGCTGTATACTATCGAAGCACTGACAAAAAAAAGGAAAAAAAAAAGAAGAAAAAGAAAACGCTTCGGCTTGCGAAATCACACTGCACACCAAACATTGTCGTGGACGGTCCTACGCTACTACCCAGAGCCTAGACTAGATAAATTCGCTAGGTAGCTCACTTCGTGATTAAGTAGTGAAAATACTAAAAATACCACGGTATAGTGCAACCTTGCCGCTTATAGGAACACGTTATTTTGAGGTGACCGGAATAATGTGTACATACTATGCAAAAACAAAAAAAAGTAGCAGAGACGAAGACATTGCACGCAATATTTTCCTCCAAGAATGTCAGTATAATATATATATATATATATATATATATATATATATATATATATATATATATATATATATTATATATATATATATATATATATATATATATATATATATATATATATATATATATATATATATATGCGAGCATCAAGTAGGCTAAAAATAAACAAATAGAATACGAAATGTCCCTAAACGTGCCACGCATCCGTTTAATGAATGTGCAGATCAATGCCATAGATGTACTTGCATATCGTTCAGAAAATAATATATCAGAAAATTTTCTACTGAACAACTGCCCATTCACTCAAACAATTTCCACCCAAGCCACTTGGAGCAGCTAGGAAGATGTGTAGCAGTTACAGTTGACACGAAGTGCTCGCTGTTTCATTCACGATGTCGGCGACAAACGGGAGCACACGAGATCCAAACACGAGAAATTCAGGGTCACACGAATGTTTGAAGTGATGACAAATTTCAACAGTGGCACAGCACAAGATTCCCTTCGGAGGGGAGGGGGGTCATCGAAGCGCCCCCCCTCCCTCATGTCACTAGGGGTGGCGGCACCTCCTTGCCACCCTTCCTCACTCCCATGCGCATGTTGCGCAGCGGTGAATCCAGCAGTAATTGGTGGACTTAATATATCAATCGCAACAGGATAACGCTGGGCGCAGCTATCTCTAGCTCGATATATAAACATGCGGCATGGCGGCCACACCGGTTTGTTGACTTCCGTCCGATGGGGGCACGTGCGGTAACCGTGAAAAAACCATCCAGTTTAATGTACGATAGACCACCGTACGGCGAACCACGTGGACGCGACACGGCACGGCAAGGATGCCAAGGTGGTCGCACGACCAATGATTCGAGCTGCCGATTACGCAAGAGCACATCTCCGGAAGCGAACGAGTCAAACGTGCGCCGCATACAAAAGCTATAATGTATGCCACGGATTTCGCAGGCAGCTAAGAAAAAAAAATACCAGCAAAACTACAAAAAAAGCAGCCGCGCGCGCAGCACGTCTTAGTTCACGCAACGAGGATGGAGTTGGGAAAAAAGAAGACCGGAAAGAAAAGAGTGCCGCATATCCACAGATAGAAGACGTCAGCCGGCGACCGAGCGCTCTTTCGTTTCGTCAAGTTGAAAAGAACTCGTTTTGGGAGGACGCGACCCGCTTTTAAACCTGACCAGCTACGCAGCATTCAGACTGTTGTTGACAAGTCACAGTGCGAGCGTCGACGCTTTCGAATTTAACAGAAAAAAAATATTTGCGATCAATACAACGAGTAATTACATTCCAAACAAAAGCAAAACTGAGACGCGTGCTAAGTTCAGGTGCACGCCGTTTCCGAGACGTGAGCAAGTTTCGGTTCCGCATTGGACGAAACACGCAAGCACCTCTGCGAAGCGATATTCGTCTAACTTCGTCGCCGTATTATACGCGTAATGACAGTACAGCGCCAGGACGGGGTAACCGACTAGTTACATAGTTAGAACCACGACGTGGTTAGAACACAGTTTGAGCAGCGTAGCCTCGCGAAACCGATCAGGCACCAAGAGATGCTCCGGTCCCGCCTTCTTTTTCACACGCGCTTTGTGACAGCGACATGCGGCACAAAGTGTCGCCGCGACGACGGCAACAAATCAACGACCCGATCGCTACTTCATTTCCTCAGCGCGTCGTCAAGCCTGACGTTCATTCAAGTTTGCCGGCCTCTAAACGCGGTGATGATGACGGGACGCTAAGGGCGCGTTTGTTTGCCTTCGCATTCCCGACTACATCCCGCCTGCGCGTGTTTACGAACGCGAACCACCTCGTAAGAACGTTCTTGCTCAGAACGCTGCTTCGCAGGCCCGAAATTGTGAGCGATAACGCCGCAAATTTTCAACAAGTTGCCACTCATATATGTCATCGCATTTGAACGAAGAGCAATCGCATCCACTGGGAGACGATCACCTGTCCGACGACGGAGGCTGAAGATGAAGGAAGTCGTGCACTTACCAGCGTCGAAATCCCAAGCTGCTTCCGCGCGACGGTTAATTCCTCGTTTCACTTCACTCGACGTCCACCCCGGCGACACGGTATCGTCAAAAACCGCGACATTTTGCACCACGATTCGATCATGACAGCGGACCAGCGTTCATCGCACTTCTCCATGAAAACTGAACAGGAACTAAAACCGTACGCTGCGCCATCTGTTGTTGCCTTCAACAGGCATGTGCAAGTATAGAATTAAAAACATACAAAAACAACGTTTACATGAAAGTTTTTTTAGTTGTTATTAGTGAAGCCTATTTACAAAAACAGGATGTTTTTACTGTTTGGTAGTTATTATTTTTTATCTATGATAAACTTTGTTTTACTTACGCGTCATTGTTGGCGGCGTACAAGTGCCAGTCCAAAAGCACTGTGTGACATTTCGTCCGCTTGTTTATAGCTTGTTTTTGATAGGAGCGGCGTGTTTCGCGCCTGTGTGTGTTCGAGATGATCTAAGTTCGATCGTTTAACCATAATTTGCCCTATTGCGTAGCGTAGAGAAAATTATGATAATGTCGACGCTGTCGTTGTTGCAGATAAGTTCGTTGTCGCTTTTGTAGAATTCTAAGCCAATCATGCTGACGATGTTTAGGACGGGTAAGCATTTCGCGTGATCATTCATTCATTCATCAATGACTGTTGCATGCGCTTACAATTTATAGCACGATCTGACGCTAAAGAGGACGCAGAAGCTCTCTAATGTTCAGCGGCCGGAAAATCACCTAAATCTTGCTAAATCTTACTGTGTACTTACCGCTACTGCTGCGAAGTACGGAATTGAGAATGTGCATTGGTTCGCGCCTACAAGATGCTGTTGTCCGTTTGAGTGCCCCACGTTACCCCGATGGCACATCCTTATTACAACGACTGTTCTTCATGCGATGATTGACTGCAGGTGTCAAGTGTACTCGCTCGTTGTGCCTGGCTCCCAGGGCGTCCAAGGCGGCCTTGTCGAGTGACTCAAACAGGCAGTTTGACGTTATCGTGGTCGGCGGGGGTCATGCCGGCACCGAAGCTGCGGCTGCCTCGGCTAGGATGGGATGCAACACCTTGCTGCTTACCCACCGCTTGGATACTATCGGTATTGCTACGTGTCTCGCATTAATTCAGGACACTTTACCTCGTAAAAGGTGCAGAGAATCAACTGTGCGACGGAGTCATGAGCTACAAGAAAGACACAACAAATTAATTCGTGATAACAGCGCGAAGACATACTGGACTTATGGTCATAAATGTATAGAACGAGCACTAATCTTCATCTGAACAATTTTTTTTTTTACAGAAGAATAACATGTAGTCCATACCTCAACACTTCCACAGACCACGAATGAAATTTCTTTTAAACAAGCTAACATACTCAATATATGTGATGGTCGGTGTTTAATGGACACATGGTGTTGTTTTCTCCGCCACAAGCTGCTTGCATTGCGAAGCAACGGGGGTTCTCGAACTGTTCCGCATCCTGTGAGAAATACACAAAGGCTATAAAAGCAGTCTTCATCAATAGAAGTCGCACCTGCCCTGACAGCTGTGCCGGATTTCAAACCGGCTCATTAGAGCACTGGCGTTTCTATATCATGAGCAGTAGTTTCATCATCAGCGGGCAAAAGGTATTCCTCGATATATATAGAGACACTTCAGACACTGGTTTGGCCATGTACATAGGCTTTTTTATCAGCACGTCTCCCATCTCTGGAGATTTTCATCCACAATAATATGTTTCTACCATATATATACCTGCCTGAACACAATTGCTGTCGCCTGCATGCAGTTTAGGTTGTGCAATGCAGGTTACAGGAGGCATAAATCCAGTGAAGACAAAGATGAATGTACAAATTAGCAATCTTGCTGGCACCTTATTCTGTTTACAATTTTCTTTTCAGGAGAAATGTCTTGCAATCCATCCTTTGGCGGTATTGGCAAAGCTCACCTCATCAGGGAAATAGATGCACTGGGTGGGGTTTGTGGCAAGATATGCGGTGAGTTTACACAGCACCATACGTCTTCTATTATTCTTTTTTTCACCCTGTGTTTTTCGTCGCATACTTTCAAGGTGTGAAAAATTGTCTTGCTAAACTTGCTAACCATCGTTGCAGAAAATAATGCGAGTGCTGCATTGCTGCAATAGACAAAATTGGTGGTACCATTCATGTCCGTGCTTTGCGGAGGCTGTGTCATATTTCTTACTGCATTCCTGGCAAGCGCAACTTCAGTTACTTAGCTTTATGCATCAGGAGTCTGACACGTAAACTTTACGCTCATGTTTGTGTTCTTTCTTTTGTGTTTTAGATTTGTCAGGTATCAGCTACAGGGTTCTGAACAAAAGAAAAGGACCGGCAGTATGGGTAATACGATTATTTCATCTATGAATCTAAAATAATCAAACAATATACTGTTGAGGCTTATACATATAACATGACCACAGACATGTCTGTAGTATCTTTTTCTTGTTTGCAGGGCCCAAGGGCACAGATAGACCGGGGCCTCTACAAAAGGCACATTCAGTCTTACTTGAAGAACCAGAGAAATCTCACGATAACTTGTGGAACTGTCGAGGACCTCGTACTTCAAAAAACAGCTGAAGGGTCGCGCTGCATCGGAATCACCCTGGGTGTGTGGGCCGTACTTTATCCTGTTCACATCAATCGTAATACAGCTTGACGGTATCATGCCCCGATTCCCCCATTTTAATACGGTGAAACTTTTTTTTTTTTTCGTGCTAGTGTGTGCTGTCATTTGGCTTTGTACCGGCACTGAATGAACTGCATTGAAAAAAAAATTAGGGCAGCTTTATACTAGTGGTACCAAACCTGAATTAACTGCAAATCTGGACAGCCTTCTTTGTTCTTGGTTTTTCTCTTTCTTTGATTTCAACCTTTTCGTTTTCTTTTCCTCTTTTCCAATTTTTTTCTGTCTTTTTTTGTTCATTTCCATTTATGTTTTCTCTCCCTATATATTTTTCCTTTCTTTCTCTCTCTACTTCTCATAGGCTTTCTCTGTTTCAATTTTGACAAGTAGTTTTGCCTGTAGCATATCACTCGGTAAATTATTATTTAAATTACATTGTCTGCTTAGAAATTCTCATCTGGTTAATTAGATTTCAGTGTACCTGAACAATCGCCATCAGTATCCCACAGGGGTCAGTCCTGGTGCCGCTCCTTTTTCTTATATATATAAAAGACGTCTCTGTAAAAATAAAATTGTACGCAGAGGACTGTGTTCGTTATACAGAGGTTAACGACCAATTGGACCAGGCACTCTTAAACAATGATTTCCAGAATGTTGCTTCGTGGTGTATACGATGGCAGATGTGTATAAACTTCAACAATACTGTTTTGAAGTGCATAACTCGAAAGAAGATTTTTACATATAATTTCAACAGTGTGAGTTTGTCTGAGGTGTCTAAATACAAATATTTTGGACTATTGATATCAAATGATCTAAGGTGGAACAAACATATTCATTATGTTACAGCTAATGCCTATAGAAAATTATTCTTTTTAACGAGAACGTCATCTTTGGCTACCTCTGCTGTAAGAAAATTCGCATAACATTCCATTGTCCTACCAGTCTTAGACTATGCTGCCTGCTCTTATATGGAGCTCATACACAAATGGTAATACTCTGAAGCTAGAAAACATCCAAGAAAGAGCCATACAGTTCATCTATTGCGATTTCCGACACAGCTCAGTATGTGACCTGCAAACACGAGCGAACCTGAAGCGCTTAGCCGAAATAAACTGCTTGTCATGTTTAAAATTCTTATATCAGCTAATCAAGGGGCACTTTAACGTCAACGCTAGTGAATAGATTTCGTTCTCCTGCGGTTATTTAATGCGCCAAAGGCACGAACTAACCATCACTTTTTTCCTTTCTCATAATGACTCTTTCAAGTATTCCTTTTTTTCCGAGAACAGTCGTAGATAGGAAAAACCTTAGCAGCAACATCATTCAAGCAACTTCTTTCTCAGCATTCTCATCGTTTCTTGATGGGTGAAACATGATCAGTTATTTTTTATACTTACCGACTGCTTGCATCTCCATCATTGCCTGTTGCTTTGTTTCGTTTGCACCTATGGTAAATGCTTTGCTGGGTCATTGAGCATGAATTTGTTATCTTTAGCGAATGTTCATGTTTTCTTTTTATTTTTTATTATTATTTATTATTATTACATTATTGAAAATATTATGTACATAAATCCTATTATGTACTTTTGTTCATGCTCTGTATCCCACCCCGCTGAAACTCCTGGAGAAGTTGTAGTACTAATAAATAAAATAAAAATGAATTACACCAAGTGACAACAGCATACGAGAGGCCAGGCCCCTAAAGTACTTAATATCATCATCAGGGCACTTGAAGAACAAGCTGTGAGCGTGCACTCAGTGTGTTACAGCTGGCTGTGCTAGTAAATGTGGTTTTGCTCACGATGATATCATCATCAATGGGTTCGAAGAACGAGAGAAAGAAGACTTCTTTTTGGCACGAGTGTGCGCTCCGATGGCTATGCCTTATGCGCTTCTGCCTGTGTTACGTCAAGTGACGATGACGGCGTATCAAGTAGAGAAACGGGCAGGCAGAAATAAAGGAGAGGTCGCCATAAAACAGTGAGAAAGTGATGCAACATTATTATTTATTTTTCAAATGAACATGGGTGGTCAATATTAAAACATGTAAAACAGGCAGAATGGCTATTACACTTGTAGTTGAGAAAATGCACGCGTTAGGCTAAGCATTAAACAGGTGGTGACATTAGATCACAGCATCAAAGAACAACTAACGTGAATTATTTTGATCTTGTGAAATATGAGCCTGTAAATAGCTGGAGTTTATTATTGTACCAAAGCAATCCAAGGACAAAGATTATTTTCATGATTTTATGGTGTGCACACAACCAAAATATAGCCTTCCATTGCACATAGCAATGCATTTGTGCTTGACTGAGAATGACGTGTCTTTTATCTCAGCAAGAAATGTTTTTGAAGGTGTGTACCTCCTAAAAGATAATGCTTACCCATGTAAATCTCCAGTCCAGCTTTTCTGAAGTTTCATAGAATGAGCATTTCAAGGTATTCATAGTGTTGACTAACTGAGGCTTGCGGTGTGGCTTCTCTTTTTAGATGACCGCACTACAATCCACTCCCAGTGCGTTGTGTTGACAACTGGAACGTTTCTGAGGGGGCAGATTAACATCGGTCTGGAGACGTATCCTGCCGGACGGCTTGGTGACAAGCCAGCCATAGGCCTTGCTCACACGCTTGAGAAGTTGGAGTTCAAGCTGGGCAGGCTAAAAACTGGTAATTATTCTTGAGAAAGTTGGCACTCTTTGTCATGCCCAAGTTCATGCTTTGCTGAAATAGCTTTTCGGCTGACCTGTGGCTCACACATTTTATTTGCAGCATAGAGTTATGAAGAAGTCTCTCCATTGCTTTCGTATGTTATTTTTATCCTGTCCATTTGCAAGTGTGCTCTTATTACAGCATAAACAGCCTACAAAGTCTAGATGAATCTAGCTTTTCTTTTTTTTTAGAGAGAGATTTGTGAACATTGTTGGCAGTCGACATTGCCGATACATTACACACAAACAATGCCAGAATTCCTAATCACAAATAAATTTTGCACCATCGCTTACATAGAGCATAAGAGTGTGATCACTGTGATCTAAAAGAATTGGTGTGATTCTTTACTGCATACATGCCATCTAAGCCAGCACATCCGTTCAGAATTGGCCTTTTCTGGTTGTTCTTGGTAGACACCTTGCATTTTTGCTTGTAAATCATATACTTTGAGCTCTGAGTAAATAAATATCTGATTTTACACAACCTCTGCTGTCTCGATTAATATATAGTTTTCTTATAGCAGTAGAGCTCTTACACAATTGTTAACAACACAGAGAATCGCAAGGTGTTGGCGCTGTTAGTTAACTTTTTTGGTCTGCTGGCCGAGCTGTTTTATGTACCAGCCGTCATTTGAAAATCCGGCGTTATTTCTACGGCAGGAACTCCTCCCAGGCTGGATGGGCGAACAATCGACTACAGCTCTCTAGAAGTGATTGAGAGTGACAACCCACCAGAACCGTTTTCCTTTAGCAACACAAAAGTGTGGATTGAGGTCTGTCACTCTGTTATTTTTCTTACTTTTTGTTGCAGCATGCTGTTCCTAATATGTTTGTTTTATGCGAGGAAAGACATAGTGTAGTGAAAGAAATGTGACTGAAATTTTTAGCACTATGATTGTGCAATAATGGAGTGTTAACATATCAAAAGTTTTATCACTATTGATGTGTGCTCATCCATTAGCAAGATCACTGTGCACATGTTCTTAGATTAGAGTACTTGTACAGCTGCTACATAAGGTAACTGGTACTTGTGTGTTATATGCTCTGCTAAATGTGTTTGTTCTGCACTTCACGTTACATCAGAAGGATTGAGCCAATCAATTGTTATGGTTCTTCTAATGAGCTCACACATATTTTGTTGCTTCCGAGGTTTTTGTGCTACCTTGTTTTCATTTTCTGATGAATAATTGTTATTTTCATAAACACTTACAAAATATAAGCACATGATATAACCAGAAAGCCTACTACAGGCCTATTCAGTGTAATGACCAGTTGTAGTTTTTTGGTTCACCAGTGAAATTAACTTGGGGAATTGGGATGTTGGTATTTGACTAGCAACTCAGTGAGGTATGTTCTTGTTTATTTTTTTTTCTTCTATGTAATGAAAAATTGCCATTTACTTGGGTGTAACAGATACAATGCTAAATGAGAGAGACAAAATTTAGTGATGCCTGATAATATTAGCCTACTGGCCTGCTACTCCTGCTGAGATGCTGGAGGATGACACACAGGAAACAAGACAAAAACAAACATGTTCATTAGTACATACATACAGGCAGAATGTATGACCGCGACAGCTGTCTTCAATTCATCATTGAGGTCTGTAGACACTGATTATGTATGGCTTGACGAGAGTTCTTATGTATGACTGAGTGCTACTGCCATAAATCACATACCAAGCGCGGAAAAATACCAAGCTTACACAAACGAACCTAGAAAAGGCATCGGCGCTAAAGGACAGTGAACACCAAAACTGCAAATCAATTGATATACACCTCAAAGAACTTCGTTTCATTGCGGCATAACAATTATCAGCACTCACTATGCTGGTGTACATCCATTTATTTTTCATCGTTTTGATCATGTACATCTCTGTTATAGGGAATCATATCTGTCTTGTTGCTCTAATGAATGCGAGTAGTATTAAAGGCAAGCTCGTATGTCTGGTGTGACGGGCCCGAGTTCCTTAAAGGAGTTCTGGAATGCTTTTTGAGCATGGTCAGATTAATGCTGCTGATCAGTAATAGAGGCTCCCGAGAACATGCGAACCAACTCTTATAGTGCAGCATGCGGCCTAGAATTCACAACAAATGATCAAAGTCAGCTAAAAATTGCTTTTTTTTTTCTCTCGACAAATGACGGAAGATGCTAAAAAATCATGTCTAGAAGGCCAACTATTAGCCATTAGCTGAATTTGAGCATGGCGTGCTTTGGAGTTAACAGTCCCACCACGGAAAGCTGCAACGTGTCTGCACGTGCTCGCACTGTGACACGAAAAAGTTTGAAGGGCAAAAAACAGAGGAAAAGCGCTCGAGGTGATGAGGCACGCATGCCATACCAAATTTTTGTGCCTCCGCTCATATTGTATACATTCTAAAAACTTGCGGTGGTCGATTCGTGAGGCAATAAGCTCCTTTGCTGAATTCATTCCATCGCTACTTTGAAAAGTGTTGCAGGGCCCCTTTAAATTAAAGGAATGCCCTTGAAACCTATTCTCGCATTGATTTGCTTGGCCCATGGAAAAAAAACTCACAGGGTCCTGTGTATTTGTCTAAAATGACATAGGGTCCTGTGTATTTGCCATTTGTGTTCGCCTAAGACAACTCAAAAGCAAAAGCCATCTTGTTTTTCTTCTCAGTCTGTCTTTCCCCTCGGCTTATGACAGCTTTCTGAACGTCACATGTTTTTGCACTACCTTCTTGATTGGCCCACTTTTGACCATGTGACTATCTCATGTGATGACGTAAACATGCGAAATTTATATGGTGTTATTGTGGTGCAACTATGGCATCATCACGTAATGGTGATTTTTTGCATCGCTTGTGCTGATTCCGCCAATGCCGGCGGAAGTCAATTTTCATGTTTGATTTTGCATCTAAGGCCTTCACCTTGAAAGACCGCATTACAGCGCTATGCTAGTTGCACAACAATTGCCAGTTGTCCTCATCAACTGCGTAAATGTCATTCAATCAATCTCCACTGCACAGGCTGAGAACCAAGTGCCAATGCGCCTGACGAATACAACACCGGAAGTGGACAAACTCGTGCTCGACAACCTCCACCTTGACAGGCACGTCAAAGAAGAAGTTGTCGGTCCAAGGTGCGCGATTTCTGATGACTTTTGCTTCATCTCCAGCATGGCTATCTTTTCCCTTTCACCCACTTTACTCCTCGTAGCAGGCTTCTGCAGAAACTGATTTGCCGCACCTGATTCATCTGCGCTGCCAGCACAAAATGTTTTGAAGTGTGGTTTTTTATAGGCCTGTGCAAAAATTTGAGTGTATCGAACATTCGAATCGATGTTAGAGTATTTAAATTCGTTCCATCATGAACTGAGAATTTTGAAAGTTTCAAAGTAATCAAAAGAAATAACTAAGGTTACTTTACTGCATTAATGCATCTTAAAACGTAGTTTCACTGCAGCACGAAGCCGCTATGCTTTGAAACTTTCCTTTAGTAGAAGACTGCATTTTCGCAAACCCTCTTTTCAGTGTTAAGTGTGCGTATTACCTGCACCTTGTTTTATCATTTTAAAGTTTATAAAAAAATGTTAAACGGGCTTCTATGAACTAAGTATGGCAAATTTCATTCGTAATGTATTTTACCACTTTTAACTTGCACTGTGTGATAATTCAAATTTCATTACCATACGAATTGGCTTCAAATTGTTCTGTACTAATGAAGTGCCTCTCTTTTAAAGGAGCACTGACAAAAGGTTTTGTACTTTGTTTAGGTGCAAAGCTTCTTAAGCTGTGGGTCATGCATCCTAGATATATGTAGTAGTAGTAGGTAGCCACCTCTCGCTAAGTCCTTGGAATGTCCGCTGGACGGCGGGCGGTACTTGTATATGATGAGCATATGATGAAAACATGCGAGATGGCGGTACTTGGAGGGTTCACAAGATGGACAAATGGATGGACATACATACAGACATACATATGAAACAGACGGCGGATGGACGGACAGACAGACGGATGAACGAACGAACGGAAGGCAGACAGACGCGACCAGGGGACGGACGATTCGCGGTTTGCCGATAGAACCCTCTGAGCCTTTGGCCCATTCATCATCATTCTACTCCGTGGATATTCTGTGATTTGTTTTGTTGCTCTAGGTAGCTTATGACCCGCTAACAATGGTTGGAAACCTCGTTTGCTTGAGTACAGAGTGGTTAATTATTGAGAGACATTTTTAGAGTGTCCAGTTGCAGTTTCGGCTTCAAGGAGCGCTGAGTTAGGCAGGAGCAGTCCCGGTTTTCAAGTAAGCACAGTTAGCCACGAGGCCCACAAAGCTGTGACATGTGCACCGTGTGTGGGGAGGGCGTGCTAGTGAGCACTGCACTGACAGTGAGTCTGCTAACGCCTGCATGTGCTGTGCAGTGTCGTTTCCATCCTGTTTCATCATGGAGTCAGTGCTGCAATATCAACAGATATGGTGCACATCATCTGCCAAAGGGCACAAAAAGTGAACAGTGGAAGAGAGCATTGACAGCTCATGCAAGGCTGCAGGTACTGAGAGGCACATGTGAGCCACCAGCCAACAAAAACTCATAGCGTAGGAGTTGTTTCTGCAAAAACCACGTTGATATCAATGCCACATTTTGCTCAGTCACGTGGCATGCACTTTAAAATTTATTTTAATTATGTGTTAGGCTGTATTTGCCCTTAATATTTCGTAGATGTTGTGTGTGTTTCCACATATATCTCGCTTACTCTCGGCGTTGAAATTTTGTGTCAGTACTCCTTTGAACTTCGCTTCAAACCAAAGAACCTGATATTTACACAAGGCTAGTTTCTTAGCTCGTCTGATGAGCATGACTGGACGTAGACGTTGCCTGGTTGTGATGGTGTGCAGATATTGCCCATCCATCGAGTCCAAGGTGCTTCGTTTCAAAGGCCGTGTCCACCAAGTCTGGCTGGAGCCTGAAGGCAAGTATGCAGATGTTTTTCTCATTTTGTTGTGCAGTACCACTGCAGTACTGTTGTGCATCACTCTGCTGTCCTTCTGCAGTACTGTTGCACAGAACTGCAGAAAAAGCAGTAGAGTCAAAGCTCACCGTAGATGCATATTATATCACAAAACAGTCTTCGAAATGTGTGATGTCTGTAACAAGTATGTGCGCTGGCCTCAGCCTGAACAACCTTAAAGAAGTGCATACATGCTAAAGCTCGAAGCCTTCAGGACCCAACAATTACTTGCTGTTCCAATGTGTGACTTGTGATAAGTGCTAAATTGTGTATACATACTAAGCACTGTCATTAATATGCAACCATGCAACCACACAAGATCACCATCTTGGTAATAACATCTAATAAAATGATAATGGCCATGCTGACATGCACAGTAACATCTAGAATAGCCAACATAAGCATATTAATTATTATCAATTGATGAAAACACTCTTTTAGCAATATTATTTGTCAAATCAACGTTTCCTGCTCTCTGCATTATGCCCTTCTGCTGCATAAGTGGTGAAGATTAATAATACAGTAAAAAGCAAGGTGAGCTTTTAAGTGCAGTTTAAGTTTACTTTGTTGCTTTGCTCTGTTACCACATGGACAGCGTTTACAGAATGAAATATGACAAAAACTTTTATGATATGATCATTTGTTCTAGATAGTCACGTTGTGTTGCTACAAGTACGGCCAATGAAGGTGAGGTTAACACTGATTTGAGGGTACGAGCCAATACTGCATTGATGTGGCATGAATTTATTGAATTTTGTAGAATCATAAGTGTGTGCATTACTTGAAAATCGACGCATTTTATACTGCTAGCTCTGTTCATATAGTGTGTGCATTACTTGAAAATCGACGCATTTTATACTGCTAGCTCTGTTCATATATCAGATGCTTGCTGAACAGAGTACCGTCATGCTCTAGGTAACCACTTGCAGCTATGTTAAGCCTTCAATCAAAGCTTGTGCTATTATTCGAGTGAATGTTAACATACTCGAATTCACTTAGGATGTAATTTAAATTATTGCAAATTTCGAAGTGTTTGATATGAACGAAGAGGTACATAATCAATCTGCATGTAAACTTCCTGTAAAGGCGGTTTTACTGCAGTGGAAAAGTGCTGTACCATCAGAACATCTTTCCAAGCAAAAACTGCACTGCTGCGAAGCCCTACTTCAAAGATAACCAAAAATGTTACCCTCACATCGTTTCTACGTTTTTCAAGTTTAAAAGCTTGTTCTGCTGCCTTATATGCTCGAAGTAAATTTTAATTGATTGATTTGTGATTTGTGGGGTTTAACGTCCCAAAACCACCATATGATTATGAGAGGCGCCGTAGTGGAGGGCTCCGGAAATTTCGACCACCTGGGGTTCTTTAACGTGCACCCAAATCTGATTACACGGGCCTACAACATTTCCGCCTCCATCGGAAATGCAGCCGCCACAGCCGGGATTTGAACCCGCGACCTGCGGGTCACCAGACGAGTACCTTAGCCACCAGACCACCGTGGCGGGGCCGAAGTAAATTTTAGAATGTAACGTATTTTACAGTGAAAATAAGGGCTGTTAACAGGTGGAGTCTCCAGAAAAGAGAACAGAGCACTGAAGTTCCAATAATTTTGTTGGAAATCCAATGCTCTTCTGCCCCTTCATGTTAGTTGCACTGATTTTGAGTCATAATCATATTTTAATAACATGTCCGATCCTACAATCTTCTATATTTTACGGATTATCACTTGCATTCAGCCGAATGTTGCACCAATCTACTATTCAAAGTTGCTTCCACTTAGAACCAAAAAGAATTACATTTTCGCATGCCTTACTTCAATTTCTTTTAATATTGTACAGATTAGTTCAGTCAGGACAAAAATATGCTCATTTTTCTTTATAATATGTGACATATACTATTCTAATTCGATTTGGAATTATTTGAACCAAATCACTATTTACTTCAAGCCTAAATTTTACTATTCACACAAGCCTACTTAAATATAAAATCACTTGGCATCACATTGGAGCCTTCTAAACAGTGTTTCTGGCATCCTTTATGACGTAGGCCTAGACACCCACATCATCTACCCCAATGGCATCTCCTGCACCTTGCCTGCTGATGTCCAGCAGAAGTTGGTTCGGTGCATGCCGGGTTGCCACAATGTGGAAATGATCAGACCAGGTTTGTGTATAGTACTTTGTCAATTGCAGGCTGGTCGTGTACCTTGCAAGGAAATTGTAAACTTATACTACTGCGACCCAAGCTAAAACCTTCTTACTCGAATTGCCGATTGTTGTCATTGTCAGGCCAGCTAAGCAGGGACGTAGCCAGAAATCTTTTTTGGGGGGAGGGGAGGTTGTCGGGAAGAAGAGAGGGGTGTGTATTCACAAATGCACACCTCTTTTGTGTGTGTTTTTGTAAATGTGCATGCTATACACATACACATGTGAAATTGAAAATTTGGAGGAACCCCTCCTAGTTGCCCCATGCCCTGGCAATGCCAGTGCAGCCCAGCTATAACTCTGATGATTGAGGATCGAAAAAAAAAAAAAAAGTTTTCCACTACTGCCACACGGTGAGAAAAGTTATCGAGAACTCAGTCACTGCTACTGCTGCTTTCTCAGATTCCTTTTCTCTTATAAAATTATGATGCATGATATCAAGTATATTGCTCAACTTTCTTTGTTGTTAGTATGGCTCTGAGCTATCTAAAAGTAGAAAGGAAGGATATAAACTCATATAGTTAACATGGCTTTCTTTTCTTCTAGGCTATGGTGTGGAATACGACTTTATTGATCCACGCCAGGTCAAACCAACACTGGAAACAAAGAAGGTCCCGGGCCTTTTCCTGGCTGGTCAAATTAATGGTACAACTGGTTACGAAGAAGCCGCTTCGCAGGTGAATGTTGGAATTTTACCTCATAAATAAGCAGCTAAGGAACTTACCGTATTTACAGGATTGTAATTCGACCCATTTTGTCTTAACTTGAGATTCGGTGTTGGGGGGTCGACCTAGAATCGAGAACTAGTTTTGGTTGTGAAGTCTTTCTCAAAATGATCTCCACGTATTTTTGCAGAACTAGCTTTTCTGCGCAGCCTTTGTTTCTGCCATGAAGCCACCTTCGCTCATCAATGGCTTCACAATGTGTCAAAAAAATTGTAAATAAAATTTGCTCGTGCTCTTCTCTCTCTTTTTTTATGCTGTGCCATTGTCGGGGGTCCACCTACATTTGAGTCGACTTACAATTGTAAGTCCATTTACATAAACATAGGAAAGAATGTCGCAGTAAAAAAGTACTAAAAGAGCAGTTGAAACTCGGAACTCAAATTCTTTTCTATTTTTCCTACGTTTTTGTGCTCATGAAAAAGCATTTTTTCAATCTTCTGATTAAATACACTTCGAGGATTTTCTTGAAAGTGGTTTGCCTAGGAAGACTTCCTTGTGTGAATTCATTGATAACTGTAGGCAAGCAAGCCCAAAGTCATTGACTCGCCACTTACCGCTTTCAAATACAGGGCATTGTGGCTGGCATAAATGCAGCCTGCAAAGTGCTGGACAAGGAGCCGCTAACTGTGACACGCCTGGAGGGGTACATTGGAGTGCTCATTGACGACCTCACAACACATGGAACACAGGAGCCCTATCGCATGTTCACCAGCAGAGCCGAATACAGGCTCAGTCTGAGGCCTGACAATGCAGATGTTCGGCTTACTGAGAAAGGTAACGCACTGATCTATGTATATTATGTGTTTGTCATGTTTTTTATGTGTCTAAGTAATGCACTTTTTGTTTATTTATGGTATCCCATTCATTGCTACTGTTTCTGCTTCAATGTAGGGGTGACTCTGGTCAGGCAGTTGGAACCTTGTCTCTCAGAATACTGCTTGTGCTTGTAGTATTGGATGGTGTGAAACATTGAAACAATGTTGCACCCTTTCAATCTATAGGTGACTGACAGAATTTTCAGATTTTGACGCGTCTTGTGACCAAGAGTCAATAATATGACTTTCCTTTTGTGTTAAGTTTTGTGTTAATTAGTTAAGTCTTTCAGACAATCTATTAGTCAATCAATTGTGCGCCTTCATTTCGGCCTATCAACGCTGATTTCGCCCCGAGCTCTTCACTGGTTATTGCTTCCAGTCAAACTCAGTGGCAGTTGGTTATGCTGGTAACTTCTTGTTCTCTTAGATGCTAAGATTGCCATCACAGGTGGTGCTTGTGTAGTTGATGCTGTCTGCATAGCTTGCCTGTTCAGGCTGCAATAAGACTGGAGCTAGTCTGAATTGACAAAGCTTCTTCAAGCTACTGACACGTTTTCGCACCTGTAACTTTCATTAGAAATTAAAAAAGGCTAATTAAGAGGTCGAATTTTCAAGTAGCTAAAACAAATATTCCTCACAATGCAGCATCGTGTGGTAGGCACACGGGAGTAGGTGTAAAGTTAGAGGCTGTGAATGCTATTGCTATGCTTTGGTACATATATCAATAACAGTTTTTCGAACTTCATTTCTATTAGGGTATATAAAAGACAAATATTAAGGTGGTGTTATAGATGCGAGATTTAGCTGCTTTGTACTGGTAGTGTGCTGTGCATTCATTTTTTTTTTCTTATACTATGCATTAGGTTAGGCGTGCTTTCAAGTGTGCATATTAGTGCTTCGCAGAGGTGCTGGATGCGTAATGGCTGATGTTTTTAAAAGTTCTCATGCGTGATGTCTACCCGTACTTAATAACTTTTATAAAACTCACCAAAGAATTATTATTACTAATGTGCACTTTTTACTACTATTCCAAATGTCCAAGAAATGGGGAAAAACTAAGTTCTCAGATTTCACTAAAACTAGGTGGAAGTAATGAGATATGAAAACAAAAGGCGTTTTAATCATTCCGTAGGCTACAAGATAGGCTGCGTTACGGAGGAAGAATACGAGAGAGCCTGTAGAATGAAGAATGCCCTGGCCGATGCACAACGCATCCTTGGTGCCGAGGTCAAGCATACACAGCACTGGAGAAGTTTGCTAGGACTGCCTGCAACAGTTAATCAAACGCACAAAAGGTATGCACCTTCAATCATGTGTTCAACACGTCTTAATTCAGCTTTAGCAGGACCACTAAAATTCACTAAATTATTTCGCGGGTTTCACCAAAAAATTTGAGAAGTTTACACGAACATTACTGCTTTACTCGGCAGTGTTTATTTGATTGAAGTGTACCCCTACATCAAATGCTGTGGTGTTGCTATTATTATCTTGACTTATTAATTTTTACCTATAGATCCCTGGCCATGCACGAGCTATTTAACCTCTTCGCCGTACGTGCCGAACACAACCGCGGGTTCAAGCACTGCAATCTCTATGCAGGGTGCTGCGTCTGCCGCATTCTCGTTCGTTTGTATCATGAGACGACGTAACCACCAGCCAGCGGCAACGAACAACAAAGGACTTTGCAGCAGAAACATTGTAGCGGGTGCCCCAATACATCTTGAAAAGTGGCACGTGCCTCTTCCACAACTAATAATACAGGCAACTCTAAAGGAAGTGGCGGATGGATGCAAAGAGAAGAAGGAAGAAAGAGATACGAACGTACCCAAGCACTCAAGAAAAAGTTAAACCACACAGTTTGCAATTGAAGGGAAAATGGTTGGCTTAACGTCATGAGATCAGAAGACATTATAATGGATCACACAACAGGTGTAGCTGATATATTGGCTTATAACAATTAAGTAAAAGAAATAGATCTCGACCAGTCATGTTATGCAAAGGAGATTTCATGTTATGCAAAGGAGATTAGCGACTGAGTTGATTGCTAGAGAAGGAAAAAGAAGCCGAGGGCTACTGCGAGTTAGGTGAATCAAATATTCAAGAAGTTTGCTGGCATATAATAGACCAGCTTGCTCAAGCTGAAGCAAATTGAAAATAACTGGGAGGGGAGTGGCCTTTTTCCTGCAGTGGACATTATTAAAAATTCAGGTGCCCTTGCCCAGGCAAGCAAAGCTTGGCGCATGTGCACGTGGCTTGCTACTTTTCTTTTTTAAATCACACTGCGCTACGCTCTCTTCTTAATTGTTTCCCTGTGGCTTGCTAGGAAAACAACCTTCACATCATTACACGTAACAACAACATTCATGCATTAAGTTCGGAGCAAACAGTGCTGGACATTGGATGGTAGAAAAAAATGACAGGGCAGTGAACTAAAAACCACTAGTTTTTTGCCAAGATATGCAATATACGCAGCAGCATTGCGCAGAAGACCAACAAAAACAAAGCATTTGCGCAAAAATTGACAAGAAGTCATCACGCTACATGCGTCAACAAAACAGGCTGTCACATTTTCAATTAGGAACTGATTGACTGTATCTGTTATACACCCCAGCAATAGACCAGTGGTTGTTAGTTCAGCGTTCTGCTTGTGATTCTTCCATCATATTGCGTTCAGTGCTGTTTGTTCTCATCCAAATCATGCACCGCCCAACCCAGTGACCTGTGCTCCTGCAGTCATACATTCATATCCAGGCAACAACGGAATGGGAGCAATGTGAAATGACAAATCACCTCGCCAAAAGTCAGGTTGTCGTATCAAAAATGGCTGAACACCAACAAGCCTACAATCAAGATAGCATCAATTACTATTGGAAAATGACGCTTGCAAATGCGCATGTGATTGGAACATCTTTGAGAGGCGTATTTATGCAAGCTTTTTAGCGCTAGGGTTTTGCATAGATCACCCGAAGCTGTGGGTTACATAATCTTCAATTAAGTAGATGAACAGGATGATGATGATGATGAAAGACCCTTCATAACATGGCTACTGTATGTTCTGCACCTATCTTTTAATTTGCTGTTTTTATTTACAGCCAAACGCTAAGCATGCTGCCCAGGAAAGCTTCCAAGTTTGTTTGTTTGTTTGTTTTACAAGCCTTTCTTTGTTTTTTTTACTTCCTTTATGTAAAGTCAGGCCAAATTGGTACCGACTATAACAAAGTGCAAACTCTCTCTAAACTCTCTGTTTTGCAATGCACACTTTCATATTTGAATTCGCAGTGCCCTGGAAATGCTTGGAAGCCTAGACATCAGTGCTGACACCATGGTGGACATGTATTTAACAAAGCTGGGCCCCCTTGCGTCAAGCTCCATTTTTAGGAACAGAGTGAAAATAGAAGGTAAAGGTGCCACATAGGGTTTCTTTTGTGTGAAATGCTTGTACAGACAGTCACATCGCATGAAAAAATACTACATAAGACAGGTGCATTGTGAAATTCACATATGTAGTGACCATTCAAGGGGCAGTAATGAGGAATATAAGATTAGCACTTATTTAGGATTCAAACTTCCGAATATTTTGCACACCCCTATCTAAATCCTAAAGACAAACGCAGTGAACGTCCGATTGGCGATGGCCCCTTCAGATTCTTAATATACTTCATGCCATTATGTTATGGCATTGTGGCAAAGCTGCCTTTCAAACACTGCTGTGGTAGCAAAAACATTGACTCAAGAAAACGCCGATTTCTACATATATGTAGATGCACCGCACCATTGCATTGGCCCCATCGAATTTAATATGTTTCACTGCATTACATTTTGGTACTTGCGGCAAAGGTGTCTTTTGAGTTCCTCTAAGGCCATAAACAGCTCGACTAACGGTAATACTGGTTCGAACCTACGCGGCATTGGTGGGGGCTTTAATCAACGCTATTTCGGTCCAAAAAGGCCGAAAAAATGGGACAAAGATTTTCAGCATCCGAAATTTCAGATGTTTTTATACAGTGATGTCTACTGGGCCGATTAGCAACTCTGAATTTGAAGGGAGCATGACCTTGCCCACTAAATCACTTGGGCCTCCACAAATGAAGAGTGGGAGAGGTGGAGAAAACAGCCTTTACCTTTCATGTGTAAAGTGTTGTCGACACCACATTGGTTGCACTAAGTCATGTAAATAAATACGATTCGGTCTCTGCATTGCCTGACCTTCGACTAAAACAACTAAGGAACACAATTCCTATGGCACTTCATGAACCTAGGCAGAAGAAACACTTCCATGATCTTGTCTCATAAGAACGGGCTTAGGGATCCTCTGCGACCTTTTTTCTGCAGATTTAACTTCGAAGTGTTCAAAAAATATTAAACAAATATCTGACCACTCGAAAAATATTCAATTCGCTTTGCACTCATACTTTAATATTTGAATTCGCTTCGCACCAAAAATTTGCTATTCACACCTCTAATAAAGGCATGCCAGTCTTATAATGCACAGCATCCTGTTTTGCTGGGAAGGATATGAGAACACAGATGGCAGCACTACGATGTAACTTCTGCACCACCTGCCCGACACGTCAGAAAGAAAACGTTTAATTGTGTCGGATTAGGAAATGCACACTATACCATTTTGATTTTGTTTTTCTGTACTCAGGAACTTTATGGCGAACTGGAGTCTGCATTAACATAACACTGCTGTATATTAACATGGGTGCTGCAATTTTTACGTGAAAACTTAAAATGAGAACAGTCAGCTTCCTTTTCTCCTCTCCCTAGTTTTCCTGTTTGACCGAAAAGATTTCACCACTTGGCAGCACGATATGGCCTGACTTTGTACTCAGTCATGATGTGCGTTTCTACCAAATGCACCAATCTTTCTAAGCTTTCTTAACATGAAAGTATGTTGTAACTGGATTTCACCAAGACTTCCCTGACATATTTCCTTCACAGATATGACGTTGTAAAATGTACGCTGAGAGATAGGAAAAAGGACAAGAACGAAAAAGTATGGTCAGCAGAAATAAAGCCCATGACCCCTCGCTCTATAGTGCATGGCACTAAACAACTCCGCCACAAAGTGTATGTTCTTCAACATAACAACGACGAGCTATTTATGTACACCATGTTTGTCGTTGGTGGTACTCAAAGCTCGGTGGCCTTTCAGTGAGTTCTTGTTATCACTTGCGAGATGGCACGAGGGGTGCCCTTTGAAGGTCACTGACCTGCTCACACCTCTTACTTATAACATGTGTACTTTGCCCTACAGGGCGTGGTCGCCTGTGCGTGCACCCTTATCTCGTGATAGAGACAATTTGTACTGTCTTGTGCTTCCACCACAAAGTTTCTTTGAAGTGACAGTGCACGGAAATCCCCTCACTCGCTCCAGTGGGCACATTTGTGAAAGGAGTGTGCTACTCAAACATAAAGATGTAACAGCTGTGGCAGCTGTTAGTCTGGGCTCGTTTCGTGCATACTGGTGCATTAGTTTCGTGCGTCCTTCTTTGTGTTTGAGCAGCGAACTTTTAGTATCGGGCTGGGACAGTTAGTTTGTGCCTATCTTGTGTGTGTTCTTTTCATGCATCCTTTGTGCTTGAGCAGCTCTGCAAGTTTTGAGCTGCTTGCCGTTCTTTGCGTAACATTCCAATTTTTGGAATGTCACTGACTGACGTGGGAGCGTCAGTCAGTGCCACCTGTTGTCATATCGGCGAGTGTGGGACACTTATTTTTTTTCCTGTTGGCGTCACGTAGCATGTGATCTTATTATGAGCTGGCAGTTGACCAATAATTTCTCGCATACCACCTGAAGGCATTAAGTCTGCCATAACGAGACCCCCACTATGAATGAAGGAAAGAAGGGTATATATGAAGGCTTGTTTTATTTGTTAGTCACAATATCACAGCTATGTAATTTCAGCAAGCTATAGAGCGCATCACCCGGCATATGGTGACACCTTGTGGCAAGAGCTTCATTTTGTCCAAATCCTGCTTGTTCTTTATGCCAACTACTACCGATCAATATCAGCCGTTTTCTGTGTAGTGCAAAATCTGCTGCATGATGCCCTCTTTAGAACAAGAGTATGGATGGGCTTCTATTTGAAGAGAACACACTTGAGGAAGAGGCAACTTCGCTCACTGCTTGTAAACTCTTCTTGCTGCACACAACTGCAAGATTTGGCGGAGCTGTTTGCATCAGCACCTGCCTTCTGCTGTATGTGTTTTTTCACCAGTCACGAGGGGTGGCTCATGAACCCTTTGAAGGGACTGTCTACCATCCTTCACTGATTATCTGATTTGTGTCGCAATAAAAAGCCTACCATCTGAAGTGTTTAACCTTGCAGCGGCTTCTCTGAAAAATGTGAAGAAATTTTTAAAGCAGAAATTTTCTATCTGCGTTCGGTCTCCTTTCATGAGTGGGATGAATGCCCACGACACTGGTCGGGGGAGGCGACGACAATTGTTCTGACAGTGAAAGCCGAAAACAGAAACCGCGTGCGATTTCTTGAAGGCTTTGTCAAATTTTTTTTTTATTAATAAAACAAATACCTTAGTGGTTGTTTAAGGCACATACACTTTTTTTTTATGAACGGCGGCAGACGTCGTATTTTCATTTCTCCGCCATTTCCCGGCAGACATGCAGGCAATCGAACACACTGCCAGCCGCGCCGCCGAGTGCCTTTTTGAACGAATAAGAAAAAAAGCAAAAATTAGTCTGGTGCAACCTAAAGCTGCCTCAAATGCATAAAATACAATTTCAAGTTATACATGTTTGTTTTTGAAAGCAAAAAAGTCAACCTGTGGGGATCGCTGTTTTGTGATGCTAGTGGTCATTTTTTGTCAACTTTTAACGTGAAGTTAAATTTTTAATTCCTTTTTCATGAGACAAAAGCATGCTAGTTGTTATCAATGTGATGAATGATCTTCTAATTTGTGCCACAATCATAACAATTTTTCCAAATGGTGGACAGTCCCTCTGTCATTGATAACATAACCAGGCTACGAGGATACTGAAAGAACTTTTGTCTACAGCTTCACTGTCTTTGGTGTACAAGTTGATTGCGTTTGCGTACACACATGTGAAAAGTTGTACATGTTTTATTTTGTTCCTCTTTTCTGTCTTTCAGCTAGATACGCATACCTAGTAGCTAGGCAGCGGGCGGAGATTCTTGAACTTGAGGAAGGAGAAGCTCTGCAGCTTCCAGAAAATATTGACTACAATGAGTGAGTCGACACAATAGTTATATTATTTGTATCCTCTCGTTATTTCAGTCTGTGTAAAAGTTAAATAGATGCCATAGCAAGTGCAATCAACCAAAGCATCAAGCAGGATTTCGTACAGGTTAAATCGACCACATTCCTACTATCAATCAGGTGATAGAGAAATGCTCAGAACACACCCAACCACCATACATAGCCTTCATAGATTACGAGACGGCATTTGATTCACTAGAGATATCTAAGTAATGCAGACGTTGCATAATCAGGGCGTCGACGAAGCATATATGAACATCCTGGAAGACAGCAGATCGACTGCCACCATAGAGCTCCATAAAGAAAACGACACAATATGTACCAATAAAAAAGGGTGAAAGATAAGAAGATATGATCTCCCCAATGCTATTTACCGCGTGCTTACAGGAGGTTTTCAGAGGCCTAAATTAAGAAGAGTTAGAGATAAGAGTTATGGAGAGTACCTTAGTAACCTGCGCTTCGCCGATGACATTGCGTTGCCGAGTCTCTGGGAATGAAGTGCAACTCATGATTACTGAATTAGACAAGGAGAGCAGAAAGGTAAGCCTTAAAATTAATCTGCAGAAAACGAAAGTAATGTACAACAACCTCGGAAAATAGCAGCGCTTCGAGATAGGTAATAGTGCACTTCAAGTTGTAAAAGACTATGTCTACTTAGGGCAGGTAATAACCGCGGAGCCGAACCACGAGATTGAAGTAACTAGAAGAATGGGGTGGAGCACGTTTGGCAAGCACTCTCAACATATGACAGGTAGATTGCCACTATCCCTCAAGAGGAAGGTATATAACAGCTGTATCTTGCCGGTGCTTAGCTACGGAGCATAAACCTGAAGACTTACAAAGAGGGTTCAGCTTAAATTGAGGACAACGCAATGAGCAATGGAAAGAAAAATGGTAGGTGTAGCCCTAAGGGACAAGAAGAAGGCACAGTGTATCAGGGAACAAACGGGTGTTAAGGACATCATCAAAATCAAGAACAAATGTTCATGGGCAGGGGCACATAGCGCGAAGGCAACATAACCTCTGGTCACTAAGGATCACGGACTGTATTCCAAGAGACTGTATTCCAAGGGCGGATGAGATTAAGAAGTTTGCGGGTATAAAGTGGCAGCAGCGAGCACAGGACCAAGTTCACTGGCAGAACATGGCAGAGGCCTTTGCTCTGCAGTGGGCGTAGTCAGGCTGCTAATAGGAAATGCTTATGCAGGGAACATTCCTTAGGGAATTTTTGGTGGTAGGAGTGATCATTTTTCACGACTGTATAAACCGGACTATAGGTCGAGTTGGAATATAGGTCGACCCCCCTTGTTCAGGTTACCGAAAAAAAGGAAAACAACCCGAAAATTGCCGAATGACATTTATTTGCGAATTCGGCGCACCGCACCCCGATCGCCAGAGCTCCCCTCAACCACCATCGTAACTGTTCCTATTCCTCAGACAGAGCACCACTGTCTTCTGAAGACGAGAGTTTGTCGCTGGCCGCCTCCCACAGTGCGTTGTCTTCCATGCCATACAGCGAGTTGCTGATGGAACATTTCTTAAAAGCATTTTCTACCATGGAATCTGGCAAAGAAAGCCAGGCGGAAAGCACCCAGCCACAAACAGTCGCAAGCGGAGGCCTCTGCAGGCGGCCCATCGTGTCTTTGGGTTGTCACCAAACATCCACTATTGGTACTCCAACCACACTCGGTCCTAGAACGGCTTGTTTAGTACAACGTCGATCGGTTGGAGGGTGGACGTCATACCACCTGGTATCACGGGGAGGTCTGTTTTTCCATCGCCCAGTGCGCGCTTCACAGCGTCAGTTAAGTGACCACAAAACGCATCTAACACCAGCATGCTGCAAAGACGCAGCAGTGCACCTGGCTGATGGTTCCAGACTACTCGTATCCATTCGAGTATCATGGCCTCGTCCTTGTATCCCTTTTTGTTGACGCGAGCGACAACACCGGGCGGGAACACTTCCTTTGGCATTGTCTTACGTTTGAGAATGATCAAGGGCGAAAGCTTTCTACCATCTGCCATGCATGCCAGCATGACAGTGAAGCGCGAGTGCTCGTTGCCAGTGGACAATATCTTCATAGCCTTGGTGCCATGCTGCATGATCATGGTCGATGAAGGCATGTCAAACCACACGGGAGTCTCATCGGCATTGTCAATCTGTCCCATCATGTAGTTATTCTGCTCCCGAAGCCGGTTCACGAAGCGTTGAAAGTTTATAAGCTTGTCCTCGAACTCGTCTGGAAACTTCTGACAGATGGATATGCGCCACCGGAAAGAAAATCCTTTGCGTCTCATGAATCGACGCACCCAAGAGTTTGGTGCACGAAACTCTTCTCTAATAAGCCCAGCTTCTCGAGCGAGTTCCACAGCTTTCTTGCGTATGGTATCCATGGTTACTGGCAGCGAGCACGCATGAACTTCCCACACAAAGTTCCCTAGCGTATTCTCCAGCTGCGGATGAACCGCACTTCGCCCACGAAATGACATTTTCCGAGGATTGCACATCTGCAGCTTCTTTTTCTGCACCCTCCAATAGCGCACGCTTTTTTATGATACACCAAAGTGGCGTTGAGCAGCCATATTCCCATTCGCTACTGCGAACTCAACAACCTCTAGTTTAAACGCAGCTGAGTACTGCCTTCTCGTACCGCTACTCATATTCAGTGAACGAAAAAAAAAAGACCACTAAAAATGAAACACAGTGTCAAGCAGAGCGAGAATTTAGAACAGATCAGAGGCACATTATGAACACAAAAAAAAAAACAGACAAGAGAGAAGAAAAAAAAAACCTGCTATTGGATTAGAATGTGAACATGGCAGTGTCCAGCTTCTCATGCACATGCAAACCACATGTTGCCTGACAGCGGTGCACTGTCAGCTAGACACCGCTATGTAAGATGAGGGGCGACTTTAGCTCGTTATTTTATTGAAGATATCTCGACTTATATTTTGGTTTATACGGTATTTTCAGCAACCGTTTGTAGCACTAAAAAACCATACAGCAAGGCAATATTTTTGCTTAAGGGAGACAGGTACAGACATTTCATTAAGCTGTTGGTATTTCATCACGAGCTTGGGATATGTAAAAGAATGCTTAGCAATTAAGTTAGAAGGCAGGAAAAAGCTTGTGAGATACGATGTTTTTGGACATGCCTGTAAATCCTAAGGTTTTGTGTAAACACCATGTCTGCCATGAACCATCTATATCAGGGCATCTCAAATTCGGACACTGAAACCGTTCATCCTCCGGTTTTTGCTTTGATCGAAGATCTGAAGTGGTGATATTCGGATCTACTATAACCGCTAGGGTAGTGGCTGTATTGCTGCCACAAACCATTGCTCTCAAGCACAGATCCACTTGATGCTGTTGCAGATCATGGAAGGCAGCTTCGCCACATTGTAGGGCTGTTTTGCTATCGAGCAAACATAAGTTGCAGTGAAGCATGCTGAAATTGAAGAGGAGCTCTTGTCAAGATATTTTTCTTCTTCTATCATACATGTGCACACATGCCATCTTCTGTTACAGTACTACCAATGAGATGTGCTGATAGCCTTTCAGAACAATTTTGGGCATGGTTTCATTGATCTGTGTCATTGCGGTCAATAAAATGGTGTGTATTCAATTTCTTAGATTATCTCAAGAGACCACAATACATCCTAAAAGCTGGAATTAACTGTACTCTAACCTCATGTTAAGAACGACCTTGGAGTGCTAGACCTAGCACCATAAGTATCTTCATGCTGTCGGGACAAAGAACAAAATTTAGTGACTTTACGCAGAAGTAAGGCTAGGTAAAAAATTGCAGGCTACAACATTCTTCTGGCTCTGCTTGTGTATGGTCATAGGTGTGCACAGGGTTCTCGTGCAGGGGGGGCAAAGGTTCATCGCTGCACCCCCTTCCATATTAGCTCAATGTATAGGGCAGATTTTATGCCCCCCCCCCCCCCCCCCCCCTTACGTGTCTAAGAAGGCACCCCGCCCCCTAGTCGGTGTAAGTTGCAGACCTGCCCTTCTGTCCCCCCTCGTGCACACGCCGATGTGTGTGGTAACGAACCACTGGAACACAACTAGGCTTTGTTTTAGGGTGTCACAAAGAAAGGTAAAGCAAATATACATGGGCAAAAATAATATAGAACAAGACAACATGAACACTAGCTGTCCTTGCCTTGTCCTGTTCTCTTCCCTTGTGCCCGTGTTAGCATGCGCTACCTTTTTTGTACCGATTTCTTGCCAAACTAGCATGTATGTGAACTGCCTGAGGTTCGATATGATGCAGTCTTTATTTATTTGATTCATTTGTCCAGTCCTCAGTTGCAAAACATTCTTTTTTTTTTTCTTTCCCCAGCCCTTCATTGAACTTGTCCAATGAAATGAAGTCGAAGTTAGAGCAAGCAAGACCAACTACGGTGAGTACCATCTGTAGAATTGCATAGTTGGCAACATCTAAGACGCCGATGGCATATTGTTGCTATTGTTGCTACACTATTAGTGTTACAGATCTCTTTTTCTGGCCTATGTGCAAAAAAATGATCCCTCAAAATATCCTCATTTCATTTCATTAACAGCAAGGGCCTCGTTCAGGCAGACTTCATGCCTTCAGATGCAAGGGCTTATTGGTCAGCTTTTCGCTCGTTCTGCGGTCAGCCTGCCCACTCCTCTCCGATGGAATATCGGATAATATTTTTCGATGCGGTAGCACTAAGCCACACAGCTTGATTAGCACACTCGAGTTCCTTGCATCCAACTTGGCATGTTATACAGTCATGTCACCGCAAGGCTACCTGCGCTAATTACCTGGCTGCTATAATGGCATCACTGTTCAAGACGACGATTACCAAGGTGTAGCTCTGCATGCGTTGGTCGGCGAACTCACTCCTGAGTTGACTCACTCAGACTCGTATTGAGCCGTGAGTCTGTGTTTGAGTGAGTCCAGCTCAGGAAAATGTTGGCGAGTCTGAGTACAAGTGAACCTAAGTGAGTTCCCCTTTTTTTGCAGACTTACGCTCCCATCTACTCATTTTCAGCATCACTATCCTCCTTACCTGGACTCGTGTTTCTGCTCACATCTACTCACACATATTCCGCCCCGCCGCGGTGGTCTAGTGGCTAAGGTACTCGGCTGCTGACCCGCAGGTCGCGGGTTCATTTCCCGGCTGCGGCGGCTGCATTTCCGATGGAGGCGGAAATGTTGTAGGCCCGTGTGCTCAGATTTGGGTGCACGTTAAAGAACCCCAGGTGGTCGAAATTTCCGGAGCCCTCCACTGCGGCGTCTCTCATAATCATATGGTGGTTTTGGGACTTTAAACCCCACAAATCAATCAATCACACATATTCCAAAGCACTATATATCGTGCACAATTTTTATACTTATTGATAAGAGGCGTGTATTAGGTGGGATGGTGCCTTCAACTCCCACCCAGCAACTCTTGCAGGAAAGTTCTTTCTAAATACAGTAAAAGCTCGTTAATTCGGATTTCACGGGACCGGAAAAACTGTCCGAATTAACCGAATGCCGAATTAACGAATGAACAGGGAAAAAAACATTTAAAATCAAGCTGCAGAAGCATACCTTTATTTGTTGAAGTATTTTGTAATTGTCCTCTGCGTTTTCGCGCAGATCCCAGCTGACATCACAATTTTTCTTAACTGTTCCAAATGACCAACAGCACGCAAGCTGTCGGGAGTGTTCAGGCAAGCGTCCTCTAATATTAACAGCGCCTCCGAGACTTCCCATGAGGTGCGATGAGGTCGCGGCTGTATCTCCTCGCATGATTCTTCGTCGGAATCGTGGTCTTCATGGGCGCCCGTGACATCATTAATAATCTCTTGATCGGTCAGGAGACCACTCGTGCGACACCATGATCGATCGCGATGTAGTCCTGAAAGGTCACATCTGTGGGAAGGACAGCATCGAAAGTCGGGCAGCCATCGTCAGTGGACTCGGTCGGTGGACTCTGCCGCTTTTTTGGCGTTGCCATTACTATAGTGCACGATGGTGGTGGCATGCAAATACGGTCACAATGGAAGAAAAAGAGAACTCCGCAAGAAGAGATGGTTCCGACACGACAACACAAGGGAAAATGGCGTTGGAGGCGACGTTCGGTGATGCTGCGATCGCCCCCACTAGTTGATGATGATGGCGATGCCACTCAGGTATCGGTTTCACTCCAGTGGTGCCAGCGCTGCTTTATCACACTTTTTTGTAGCGGCAGCCGTCAGCATTTGTCCGAATTAAGCGGTGCGGAGCCGAATTCCGACGAAATAACGAAGGTTTGGTCCTATAGATTAACATGCACTTTGGCCGGGACCAATAGAGCCGTCCTAATTATCCGAATTTCCGAATTAACTGGTGTCAAATTAACGAGCTTTTACTGTATATCCTTTGTTGTTGTCTCTTTCAAAAAAAGATGTCCTTCAAGAAAAAAAACACTCATAACTCGTATTAAAAAGTACTGTGTCAAAAGACACTAAGAAGAGCACCTGCTACGCGAGACATTGGTGCTTAAAGGGCATTTACACTTTGTATAAAAGTAGAGCTGACAGTCCCAAAATGGCACACCAGGGCAATATTGCACTTGCGTGCTTCTGTAGATATCTAGTTCCGTGGGCACCTTCATTTATCTGCGATGATATAGCATTCAATAGTATGTAGATGAAACACACTGTCATAGTATAGTACTCGAAATTTTAGCAGCTGCATGTATTGCACAAATTTCTTTATTTATTTTTTTTTTCTTTCTATGCAGGTGGGAGCGGCAAGCAGGATACCTGGTGTTACACCAGTAGCAGTCCTAAGCCTGTTGCGACTCGCAAAGGAGAAAGAGAGGTCGTCGTCCGCTCTCTGATAGTGCTAGGCTGAAAAGTATAGCCATATTGTACAGATAGAAAATAAAAGCTGGTCACTTTAACTACATCTTCATCCTTGAATAATTGATTAATTATGCTTTCCCAAAGACAAGACCGTCCTTCAAATGTTAACTCCAGTGATGTGGGATCATTGCGGCCAATCAATTTCAACTCTCCAGATCTCTGCAAACTTCTGCCCTCCATAGGTAATAACCAGGGTGTCGCCTACACTCTACACTTCAGTGGTTGTGCCACGTAAGGCTCCGTTAAATGGGCTGTCCATTACAGCATACACTGGTTAAATAGAGCTCAAAGTTGCATTCACTATGGGTGCCGGCCCGCTCGCCCCAAAATGTTAGCCAGTCGGAAAGTTCTGAAAGACACAGTCCATATTCCAGAGCTTTTTTTTTTTCTTAGAAAGCAGAAACATATCGTAGGAGTACTAGCTTTTAGTAGAGACAAGATTGCTGCTAGAACACTACTGCTGTACTCATTGCACTATCATAAAAGCATCGCCTAGTTTAAGTACGGTATAAGAGCATCACACACAGCGGTAACCACACACAAGTCGTAATATAACTTGGCATTTCTCACGTGCGTGCAAACAGGCCGAATTTGGCAAAGTTTACTTCAAGTATAGTTGCCATTAACGTACTTGCAGTCAATACTCTGCCCCTTGTTGGTCCAAAATTGTGGAATGACATACACTGCTTAATGAAAATGGGCTCCAAATTCTACATCATCACTAAGTTGTGCATGAACAGTTGAGCCTACATATGGTGAGCCTCGATGTAACAGTGTTCATTACCGTAGCTTTTATTTTTGTAACCATTTACTGTTTCCATTGGCATGCACATATTTTTTTTTCTTGACTAGTTTCATGCCATGATTTCAATTCAGTGAATTTCTGGCAAGCGATGAATTAAACTAAAAATTTTGCTGATTTCATCAACGCATTTTTTAAATGAAGACTGTTGTGATGTTTAAAATAACACAGGAAGCATCGCACAGGAAGTGTTGCTGCACAGGAAGCATCGTTACTAGAAGCAAATTTTTTTCATACTCAATTATCGTCAATGCTTCACTTCTGTTACACATGGAAAGACAGGATTTTTACATGATCAATAAGTTTCAGAGCTTACTGTTTGTAAATAACACTTGAGATAACCCATCTCATCACAATACAAACCTACAGTAATCACTGTCAAATATAGGAGAAAGTCAGCTATTCTCAGGCTCAAAGCCAGGGCACCCCCTCCTCTATATGTGAAAAGAGGGAGGTGTTTGACCGAGGACAAATAATAAAAACGTGTTTTTAAAAACCTTCAAGTGCCCGCCCACCCTCTGAAAAGAATTCCTGGCTATTCTGCAGTATTTTTTTTTTACACTAAGCGCTGTCTCATCAGTCCATAAGAAGCATATGTGGCGATTAGCATGAAGTAATTACGAGAAAATAACTGGATTTCTGTTCAGTAAAAACATCTTATTTGTGGCAGTTGATGCAGCATTATGCAGAGCTCGTGATAGTTTTTGGTGGCTGTATTTTCTGCTTACGACAAAAAACTGTAAATTAATCTGCATGATACCATGCGCCTTCCAACCAAGAATGCCTATGAGCATTTCACCCAATTGCGCATGCTGAATTGCGCCGAGCCAAAATTCAATTTAAATGAAGTAGTCAAGTACTCCATTTACATATGTAGCTAAATAATAATAGATTACCAGATGATACCAGCGGTGAAGTGTCGAGCCCGACTTGAGCCTAAATGAACAAGCTGTTTTAGTCTACTCGTACGTCACAACCCTGCTTGTAATTAACACGATGCTCATTAATTAACCACTCTAGTAGCGTGGCTAGTAATGCAACTAAGGCAATGACGCGTAACGCAATGAGATAAGAACTTACAAATATTCGGGAAGAGAACCCGTCCGCTAGCCCAGCTCGCTGAACGGCAAATTCAGTTCGTGATAGCAGACGACAAACCCAAGAATACTGTTTATCATGTTAATTAATAAATACTTTGCTACAACTTAAATATGTAATTTAATTAATTATTTTAGGTCATTTTTTAACGTTAAATTTTTTTAATGCACCTTCATGCAGCGCCGCTTTTTACGAAATTGCGGCGTAAACCATGTAAAAGAAAACTTGCAGGCTTCGAGCAGTCCTTCCCGAGCTCCTTCAGTCTCTCCTGAGGTTGTGTTGCCGGTGGGTAGCTGCAGAGCACAGCGAGCTACGACAAATAGTGACTCTCCTAGTCCTCCGCACAATCGCAATGTTCTCCCGAGTACCCAGGAATCTCCTGAACTCTGTTTGCGTCTCGGTGCAGAGGAACTTCTCCGTCACTTCAAAGGTATACCGACATCCCGAGCGCACATTCGCGAAGTGACCTTGATGGAAGACTGAGCTACGGGCACGTTTTTATTACTTACGTACCGCCGTCTTTGAGCAGCTGAAGGAATCTTTAGTGCTGCGTAAATACCCGTTGCACGATACGCAAGCCCCGTTGACGATACTTTCTCGTGCAACTTACCGCGACCGCCAACACCGTATGTGCCGGCTAGTGCCATCGACCGGAAAGGTCATGCATGATTAGAAAGCCGAAGTCAACCTGCCCGCCCCGGTGTTCACTTTTCCGACTTCTGCGTTATTACGTGAAGGTATTAAAAAAAAAAAAAGGTTGCAAGTGACCACGCCCCCCCCCCCCCCTCCTCCGAAATTTCAGTAGCGATGCACGCGCTGTGTCCGTTATTCGCCAAAGCATTGTCTCAAATTTAATTACATCTGCTTACGATCTTTGGTGTAAGCAACAAACCGAAAGGATCAAACTTAAACCGGCGTCATTCTTCACAATCGTAAGGATTTTGAATCAAAAGTGAACTCCGCCACACAGTTCCGCGTACCTAAATCAGCCTCAAGGTCCTTTCGTGACTGTTTGCTTGTACCATACCCTCTTGACATACTAAAAGAAGCATCAGAGAGAAAGTAAGGTTTGTACGGTGCTTATTAGTTTCATTTTATTTCGGTAAGTGCCATTGCGATGGATCTTCACAAACCTAATCTTCTAGGGAAAGCTTTGTTGGGTCTCATGTTTTGAACTGCTGTTCTCTTGTCCTTGTGGCGTCTGTTTCACAGTGAGCTTCCTCCACAGTTGCAAATGCATTTGGCGACCGGTAATTCATTGTGGCTTCCAAATAACTTCCCAAGATTTCTAGCTAGATTTATGGTTTCGTATGTTGTACCATCTCTTTCTATGCCTTCGTGTGAAACATTGCAGCTCAGTTCTCCTGTCAATTTCTGTACTATGCATGAATGAACAAGATTTTAAACTGTCCGGTTGGTGCGCTTCCCTTGCAGAACAATGTCAAGGTGGCAGTCCTGGGTGCCAGCGGTGGCATCGGGCAGCCGCTGTCGCTGTTGCTCAAGCAGCACCCCGGCATCACATACCTCTCACTGTACGACATTGCTCACACACCCGGTGTCGCAGCTGATTTGAGCCACATCAACACACGTGCCCAGGTCAAAGGCTTTGTGGGGAATGAGCAGCTCAGCGTAAGTGCTTGCAAGACCTTTCTGTAGATATGTCTACGTGTGAGCCAAGCTGCCTCAATGGTCTGTTGGTTATAGGGCTCAAGCGCTGATCGTGAGGTCGTGGTATAAAATCCCAGCTGCCATAGCTGCATTTTCGACAGAGGCGAAAGTATTTGAAGCTCGTGTACTTGGATTAGGTGGAAGTTAAAGAACACCAGATAGTAAAAGTTTCCAGAGCTTTCCGCTACAGCATCTCCTATAATCATGTTATGGTTTTGGAACATCGCTCTAGCAATAATTATTATTAATCAACATGTATGCTTATTTACCACCCTCCACTACGAGGACCTCTGTCATAATCATATTGTGGTTTTGGGACTTTAAACCTCAATAATGATGATGATCGAGATATTTACTACCATGCAATCATTGTACTTGCCCTAAAATTGTAAAATTTATTTGCACTAAGGTTGACAACAGAACTTTGGAAGAATGTACAGCTGTTTACAATGCTCTCGAAGCCTGAATTTTTTCATTGTCAGTTTTTTGAAAAGCATCCATAATTTTTTCTTTTTTTGTCAACAATTACCTGTGATTTCTCTGCCTTTGTTTACACAATGCATCAGGTGACTGATGCCGCATTTTGCATGAGCACCATGACCATTGCGTTTATTTGCATGTCATCAAACATAAGGATTTATTTTTTATGCTTGCTAACCACATTGAGAAAGTGCTGCCATGTTCACCAGTGAGAGAGAGCAGACCATCACTTTTATGTGATGTCACTCGAGCAAGACCAAAATGGTCTCAACCTTGTGCCAAGTTTAGAGGGCCTTGTCAGATCTATATGAAGTGCAAGGGGCTGTTGGTATGAGAGGTTGGTACAGCCTTGCGATTTGGTTCCTTTTGCTGTATCAGTGTATCATCGCACAACTGAAAATCTACAGACACTTCTTATTACCAGAATCCACTAGTAACAACAGTTTAAACTTTGTAGGACCTTGGATAGCGTTGAAAAGCAAGCTTTTAGCATATGTTGGGTTTTACTGTGTAAAAATCGATGTGACAAGACAAACTTATTACCAAATGGCCTGTATCTTGACGGTTCTACAATTCATTACTTGCACCATGTAGACTTTGTCATGTTTAAATCTGAACTTTACTAATCTGACGCTGTTAACATTTTTGGTTGAGGTAGGCATCTGCCACTCTCGTCATTCTTCTGGTTCAACACATGTATCGTTGGTCATAGCAGAACGGTGCAGAGAATTAGACAGAGAGCACACAGTGCCGACTGCCAACTCTTTTCTTGGAAAGGCAGACGAACGACGATGACCGAAAAGGAGAAAAGTGGCACAAACGGTAACGACCGACTCTTGGCAGCCGGTGCATCTATTATCGTGTGGAGGGTTTACATGATGCCGGGAAAAGCAGATTTCAAAAACGATAGTTACGCCTGCTGGCCCAGTCGCTCATTTGTGCCTTTTTGCGGTTATTAATGCTTGCCTGCTTATATACTGTATTTTCTCGTATATAATCCGCAAATTGTTCTCAAATGGGGGGTCGCAGGTAATATGCAGAGGTGGGTAGCGCATAAGAAGATGCGGTTTTGTCTGTTTTTCCCAAAAGAAACCAGCTCTGCCGCAATGTCCGTGAACCAACTAGCTCACCCTTGTTTTATAGCTTCTCTTTTTGTCTAATTCTTTATAGCACTGTAAAAATCTGACAAATTTTCATCTCCGCTTTTCCTGTGTTTTCAGGATGCACTGAAGGGCATGGAGATCGTGGTGATCCCCGCAGGCGTGCCTCGCAAGCCTGGCATGACGCGGGATGACCTGTTCAACACCAACGCGTCCATCGTGCGGGATCTGGCTGATGCGTGTGCCCAGCAGTGCCCCAAGGCCATGGTGTGCATCATTTCCAATCCTGTCAACTCTACCGTGCCCATCGCATCTGAAGTGTTCAAGAAGCGTGGAGTCTACGACCCCAACCGCATCTTTGGTGTCACCACGCTGGACATAGTCCGTGCCAATGCTTTTGTGGCACAGGCAAAGGTAACGAACTGTTTTTTCGAACACGGCCATAAAAAGTGAGAAGCCACATGAATTGCATGTCAACAGGACGAAAAACTAAATGCCGAGTTTGTTCTGCTATCCGGTGGTTAGTGCTCTGTCTTGTTTTTTATGGAGATCGACCATCTGGCTCGAGTGAGCACTTTAAGAGAAGAAACATGGCTTTTTCCTTATTTATGGTTCAATAATGTGGGTTGAAACAACTTGTTTCTGTTCAATATCAAGGCCCTGTTTTTCATGCTAATTAATTTTCACATATTTCAGGTGGTATTCCTAACAAACATTGCACAGCATTGTGTTGGTAATTATTGTGGAGGGAAGTCTGTATAGCATTGAATGATCACCCTTTTTAGCCTACTACTGTTCATATTTGGTGTCCCAAAAACTAATATCATTTCGTTGTATGGCCTGGTAACGCCATTATTTTGATGCCCTTGCTCCTGCTGGTTCCCGGCAGTCTTCTCTTTTTTGGCATCGGTGCCTCTTAACTTGTCGATGGCTGCTAGGCACAGCACCTGCAGTCGTGGCTCAGTGGCTATGGTGCTGCACAGTTGCACATAAGGTCTTGGGTTTGATTCCTGTCAGCCATAGCTGTATTTCGATAGATGTGGCATGCAAATGCTAGAACTCTCGTGCTTTGTTCTTGCTGCACTGCGATGGTTCAGACAACAAAGTTTAATCTGGAGCCCTCCACTGAGACATTCCCTCACGATTGTAGTCCTGTTTCAGGACCCCACTTCATAAACCCTAGGCTCATTTGGCCTGCATTCCCTAGTCAGTAATGGCAGATTACTCAATATGTTTGAAAAGTGTATACTTACTGTGCCAATACCAGTTCATGGGACTGGAAATTGGATGATGAAACAACTTCCTTCTAGAAAGCTGTGTAGACGTGAAAAAAAAGGAATGAAAAATGGTTTGCGAAAGAGTAAGAGGACAGCTCTTTTAGATTTTATTTTCTTGCATCTATATCTGTGTGCATAGTCTGATTATTTTACGCACTTGGCATGGCTGTACGGTCCAAAGGACTTCTGTCAACATCTTTGGCAGTGTTACTGAAAAGTGCACAAGAGCAGTGGAAATCTGTCAATTTAGAGCTTCCTAGTGACAAACAGTATGGTTTGGAATATCAGCTGTACAATGCTCTCTATGCTCTTGCATTTGATAACAGATGTGCTCCAATGTTGTTCTTTTCCAGGGCCTCGACCCAGCCAGTGTCAGTGTCCCAGTAGTGGGTGGACACTCTGGTGTCACGATTGTACCACTCATCTCGCAAGCCACGCCTTCTGTCAGCTTCCCACAGCCCGAGTTGGAGGCACTCAGCAAGCGTATCCAGGAGGCTGGCACCGAGGTGGTCCAAGCTAAGGCTGGCGCTGTGAGTGGATTTTTCTTTGCCATGAGGGTGCTGTCTCGGATATCATTGACACAATGCTGGTTGCCTTGAATAAGCACAACAGCATTAGAGGCTTGCGTTGTGCTTCCTGTATGTGTTTCAAACTTTCTTATCTTCTTAAGGTGGCTTCATTTGCAACTTCTTATGGTTTGTGATCAACTAATGTGTGGCAGATCGATAAAGTTTAAAAAAAGAAGCCCTAGCCGGTACAATTGTCACCTGTGTAACGAGGGCAGTGGGCATGGAGCTCGAATATAGAAAAGGAAGAAGACTTGCTGTGATTGCAGGCTTGCGTTCAGTTAGCCCTTGCGCTAAATAAAGGTCTTGTTCGCCGAGTCAACTCCTGCTTGTTCAACAACCCGTTTCAAGTGGTGGAAGTGCTGGGATACATCTGGTCCTCACCCTGGAACTTCGCAGCCGCACACTCCAACGACCGTCTACAATGACTGGTCTGGGGCCGTATCCGGCCGCTACTCCAGATCTCGAACCTGTGCCTGTCTTCTGCGCTGGCGCTCTCTGGCAGCGCGACCCCCCCATATTTGGTGGCCCAGAGGACCAAAATGTGGACAACTGTATTGCCGAGTATAAACTGGTGAGCACATACAATAAGTGGAACGCAGCTGATAAGCTCACGAATGTAAGTTTTTACCTGACCGACGTGGCAAAACTATGGTACAGGAATCGTCAAAGTGATTACAGTACCTGGTCGGAATTGGCAAAAAGTCTCTCGAAAGTCTTTGGCCGTCCTGCTGTCCGCCGCCTCCGTGCTGAACAGCGCTTGCGGGGCAGAGTACAGAGAGCAGATGAAACTTTCACGAGCTATATCGAAGATGTGCTCTTTCTTTGCAAGCTCGTCGATTCGACTCTGGACGAGGCAGGCAAGATCAAGAACATCATGAAAGGAATCGACGACTGTGCATGCAAATGCTTGCTGCGAAGAGTCCCCATACGGTCGCCGAGGAGATTCAGCTCTGCCAAAGCTATGATGAGCTGCATAGGCGGCGCACTTCTACACGTTGCGCTGCTCAAGACACCGCGGACATCTCATCCCTCGGACATCTCATCCCTCGACTATCACCATAACGCCGACCACTCTGCGTTGATGCCACTCATAAAGCAATTCATATGCGAGGAGGTCACCCGGCATCTATCTATAATCACAAGAACTACCGAGCCGATGGCACCCTTGTCGGCTTCGCTTCGCCAGGTCATTCAATCGCAAGTTGCCGAAGCATTGCCGCCAGCTCAGGCTCCACCAACTGTTACCGCACCACTAACGTATGCAACCACAGTTGCTCACCACGTGTGCCAGCGTCTCCGGCCATCTACGAAGCTACTCGCCATGTTTATTCGTCGACGCCACCTTCCCGCTCGCTGACCGTGCCGTCTCCGGCTCTATACGAAACAGGTCAGAACGTTTATATGACGCCGCCACCTGCGCGACCATTTACGGTACCTTATTCAGCGAACAGTGCCCCTACTGTCAGCCAAAGGCGCACTCTGGATAATCGGTCGATATATTTTTCATGTGGCATCCCAGGCCACGTAGCCCGTCACTGCTGTCGTCGCCGCTTCCCTTCTCATAACATTGCAGGGGCCTTACATTACATGCCCACCATGCCCACTCAGCCGCAATATCTCGTTCCTGCCGATCCACCTCTAGACGTGCGTCCCGGTCGCCGACCATCCGGCTCACGCCGTTCACCTTTTCCTCGTTGTCGATCGATTTCTCCAATGTTTCGTCTCAACAGCTCATCGCGAGGGGAAAACTGACAGGCGCAGTTCCAGAGGCAAGAACTGCGTTGGCAGCGAAAATTTCAAGACCTATCGGCTGTCCCCCGAACGAAATCGAACTCTATATTGATGGCATTAAGGTGTATAGACTTGACACTGAAGCTGCCGTATCTGTAATTAGCGAGAAACTGTGCTGAAACTTGAAGAAAATGACCACGCAACTTACCGACCTATCTTTGCAGACAGCTATGTCCCATCATATTCGGCTTTCAGCTTTGTGCACTGCACGAGTGGTCATTCAAGGTGCGATGTACGTCGTCGCATTTGTAGTTTTATTCCGTTCTTCGCATGACGTTATCCTTGGGTGGGACTTTCTTTCGTCAAATCCTGCTTTGGTCGACTGTGCTCGTTCCGAACTCGCGTTATCTGTGCCGTGATATGACCCCGATGATGGCGCTTCGTGTAGTGTTTGCTGCTTCTGACGTTGACATTGCGCCTTTCTCAGCTGTTGTTGTCTCGGTGTCGTGTGCCTCTCTTACGAGATTGCCTGTGTTGTTTATGCCATCGGTCACATCTGCGTGCCGTCGAAATATCATGCTTCCGTTTGCCATCGTCGTTTTTCGCAACAGTCATGCTGCCATTTATGTGTGCAATCCCTCGTACAGCCCGTCATCCCTACTACGTGGAGAATGCCTGGGAAGATATGAACCTTGAGAGTGCATTCTTCTGGCTACTATACCCGATTCTACGGTTTCGCACCGAATTTGTGCTGTCAGTCTTACCATTGCGCCTAATGATGTTCTGGACGTCTTCTCGAATGCCATCGATTCTGAGCTCGCACCAACTCAGCGCGAAGAGATTATAAATTTTCTGCTCCGCTTTCGCTCTTCATTCGATCGTGACCAGTCAGGCTTAGGTCGAACCTCTGCAGTCGTTCACCGTATTGACACCGGTCAACAAGCCCCGCTAAGACGGCGTCCGTACCGTGTGTCATCTGCTGAACGCAGTGTCATCGACGAAAAAGTGGACAACATGTTGGAACGTGGCATCATCAAGCCCTCCAACAGTCCCTGGGCTTCACGGGTTGTTCTCGTCAAGAAAAGACAGATCCATCCGGTTCTGCGTTGACTACCGCCGACTCAACAAGATAACGCGCAAAGGCTTATATACCCTCTGCCGCGCATCGATGATGCTTTGGACTGCCTACGAGGAGCAGAGTTCTTTTTTTCGTTAGATTTATGCTCCGGCTACTGGCAGGTGCCCATGGCAGAGGGTCACCGCCCGAAGACAGCCTTTGTAACACCGGATGGACTATATGAATTCACCGTTATGCCCTTTGGCCTCTGCAATGCGCCTGCCACTTTCCCAAAGATGATGGATAACATCTTGCGAGGTCTGAAATGGAAAACCTGCCTCTGTTATTTGGACGACATTGTGGTATTTTCAACCGCGACTTTGCGACCCACCTCAGCCGCCTCGAGCAAGTTCTTACGTGCCTTGCCACGGCGGGACTTCAACTTGACTTTAAGAAATGCCACTTCGGCACTCGCAAGCTTGTAATTCTTGGCCATGTGGTTTCTAAGGACGGCATTCTCCTGGACCCTATAAAACTTAGTGCGGTCGCGGCGTTCCCAAAGTTAACCACCATCAAAGAGGTTCGAAGCTTCATCAGCCTATGTTCGTACTTGCGGCGCTACGTCCGCGATTTCGCCTCCATTATCGCCCCCTTGACCAATCTTCTTGCCGGGAGTTCTGATTTGTCAGCGTGGTCGCAGGCGTGTGCTGATGCATTTCAGGAACTCCGACGGCTCCTCACCACTCCTCCCATACTCTGACATTTCGATCCGTCTGCTCCAACGGATCTTCATACGGACGCTAGTGGTGTCGGGCTAGGGGCCATACTGGCCCAACGCAAGGATGGCTTTGACGAGTACGTCGTTGCCTATGCCAGCCCTCAGTAAAGCCGAGAAGAATTACAGTGTAACTGAAAAGGAGTGCCTCGCCATTATTTGGGCAATCGGAAAATTTCGGCCTTATTTATATGGGGGTCCGTTTGATATTGTAACAGACCACCATGCGCTTTGCTGGTTGTCTTCACTAAAAGATCCTAATGGTTGGCTCGCTCGTTGGGCATTGCGGTTACAGGAGTTCGATATTCGTGTTGTCTACTGTTCTGGCCGGAAGCATTCCTACGCCAATGCCCTGTCACATTCGCCATTGGCTTCAGAGCCTGTCGGCCTGCCTATCTTTACCAGTGCTGCCTTGGCCATCAGCATTTCGGACATGCCTTCCAAGCAACGCAAAGATGCTTGGGTTTCTTCTCTTTTGTACTTCCTCTCAAACCGGACGCCTGCTCCAGTTTCCAGGACGCTTCGCCGTCAAGCAGGACACTTCGCTATTTGGGATAACCCGCTTTACTGCCGAAACTACAGCTCGATCGGCCGTAAGTGGTTGCTCGTCATTCCCCGACATCTGCGCTCTGACATCTGTGCCACGTTCTGCGATGATCCGCAATGTGGCCACGCTGGTGTGTTAAAAACATACACTCGCTTGTAGCTGCGGTACTACTGGCGCGGTATGTACCGTTTCGTTCGCCGTTACGTAAGGTCTTGCCTTACTTGCCAGCGACGCAAAATGCCCGCTCAACATGCCACAGGTCCCTTGCAGACGTTGCCATGTCCAGCACGAGCTTGCGATCGTGTCGGAATCGACCTTTACGGTCCGCTTCCCTATACTTCGAGTAGCAACCGCTGGGTCATTGTCGCTATCGACCACCTAACGCGGTACGCTGAAACAGCTGTGTTACCTTCTGCTACCGCAAAAGACGTTGCATGTTTTATACTGCAAAACCTGGTTTTAAGGCATGGAGCACCTCGGGAGTTACTAAGCGACCGTGGCCGCGTTTTTCTCTCCGATGCCATCAAAACGTTGTTGAGCAAGTGTCGCATCATACACCGCACTACCACAGCCTATCACCCGCAAACTAATGGGATGACAGAGCGTTTTAATCGTACACTTGGGGATATGCTGGCCATGTACGCTTCATCCGACCAGTCAAATTGGGATAGCATACTGCCTTTCCTGACATATGCTTACAACAATGCAACGCAAAGCACCACTGGATTTTCACCTTTCTTTCTTCTTTATGGACGCGAGCCATTATCAACAATGTATACCATTCTTCCTTATCGACCGGACCCTTCAGAGATGATTATCGTTTCTCGAGCAGCAGCACACGCTGCAGAATGTCGAAAGCTTGCTCGTGCGTTCACGTCACATGACCAGACGCGCCAAAAACATCGCCACGATGCGTCAACCACGCCTATGAGCTTTGCTCCGAACTCACTGGTGTGGCTATGGATTCCTTCTACTCCTCCAGGACTCTCCCGCAAGCTTTCGTCCAGGTACCATGGCCCTTATCGAGTTGTACGCCAAACATTTCCTGTCAACTGCCTTGTCGAGCCGCTGGATGCATCTTCGGACAAGCGCCGTCGGGGACAAGAAATTGTACACATCTCTCGCCTCAAGCCATACCATGACCCCTCTGTGTACACTTGTCCTTAGGTCACCAGGATGGCTCCCTCATCGCCCGGGGTGATTGTAACGAGGGCAGTGGGCATGGAGCTCAAGTATAGAAAAGGAAGACTTGCTGTGATCGTAGGCTTGCGTTCAGTTAGCCCTTGCGCTAAATAAAGCTCTCGTTCGCCCAGTCAACTCCTGCTTGTTCAACAACCAGTTTCACCTGTAACAAGGTAACAGTTGCCATTTGTGCAGTGTGCCAAAACTGCAAAAACGCTGAGCCAATAGGAGTGTTGTGTGCACTGCAAAATCTGTCGGACCAACCCACAATTTTTATTATTCGCACTTTTGCTATGTGGCCTTCATAGAACGTGCTGGACGTACGTTCTTACCAAGTCTGAGAGGTGGTCCATGACCCCTTAAAGAGCTCGTAACACAAGTGGCAGAGCCACTGCACAGTTTTAGTTCTTCCCTTATCTGATACACTGACGGTAAAATAAGGAATGGAAACGATCACTACGGGCAATTTTTTTCAATAGTTGAGCCTCGTAAAGCTTTTGCTCATTTTTGCATGAAGTTGGCTTGTCTTGTATTATGTATAGTATGAATTCGGGATTTTAAACCTGTTGTACTTTTCACAGCACATTAGCAGAATGTGTGTTGTGTGATAGAATATTAATGTACGAATTCAATAATTTCTTCAGGGCTCTGCAACTCTGTCCATGGCGTTTGCTGGTGCCAGATTTGTGTTCTCGGTAAGTGCACTCGTGTTGTGTTAACATTGCCTATGTGGTTTGTACGAGGCAGCATGACTGCTAAATTGCGTAATACATGTCGCGCACGCATGAATCTCAACTCCAGAGAGTGCATGCAAGAGAGATGAATACAGTAAAACCTTGCTACAAGAGATTAAAGAGACCCAAGGAACCTGCATCTTGTAACAAAATTTCTAAACACACAGAGCACACTGCGGCAGAGGTTCAGCTCGGTGATAACTATCATGGAGTTGTGGTCGCGTCACAGCGAGTATGAAGGCGTAATAGCATGGTTTTTGTCGTTATAGACATGCGAGAAATGACAACCAGCTGTGAAACAGAACAGACTTGAGCCAAGAGAATAAAAATTGCGGATGTACCAGTTTGTTGTACAAAGCTGGCCCTATTACGCGAGCGTGACTTGAGTAGTCATTCCTAACTAGCTAAGAATTCATTCCTAAGAAGGTTGTCCCTGGGTGACTCTTTTATACAGTGTTAAAAGTACGGACACGAATTAAAAAAAAAAATCTTCAGATTGTTGCTCGAAATAAAAGGACTGTTGTCGAAAAACCTAAAACGAGCATTGTGATGCTTGGGAACGCGTCGAATATATTTTTATTGCTGCAATCTTAAACAGACACTGACAGTTTCGATGTTGAGGAGGTAGCTTCTCTGCTCTTCTCCGTGACGTCTCAAAGCAGTGCGACATTACAGGAAGACAGCAACTGGCGACATACTACCAGCAAACCTGCTCGTAGTCCACGTAAACAAGTGAATTGTCCAGTCACCCCGACAGTGACTTCTGCTATTTTGGCGGCACGCAGGACGCAAATTCCGGAACAGTCTTCACTCATCACGATAATGTCTATTGCAGTGAGGCTGGTTTGCAGATGCTCACAAATGAAAACTTTAAAATACAAATAAAAATGCTCTATACATGTTGCCCGACTTTGGTGTGTGGAGTGTTGACACTGTCATACCAAAAAAACGAAAAGTGTTTCATTCATGGAGTCTTCAAATCGTGTCTGTACTCCTTCAACATGGCAAACACGGGAAAACCAGTCAAATTATATTTTTAATGTCTCTTACAACCAAGTGTCTCCTGTAATCATCTTTCTTGTAATAAGGTGACACTAGATATGTTCTCAATGTGGGTAATTAACTTTTATGCCTTTCTCACAGCTCATCTCTGCTATTCAAGGAAAGGAAGGAGTAGTGGAGTGCGCATTTATCAAGTCTTCCGAAACTGAAGCCACATATTTCTCAACCCCTCTTCTTCTCGGCGTAAGTTTTTTTTTTTTGTCAACTCTGTGTTCAAATGCCAACCATTATTTCGTGCAAAAAAAAAAAAAAAAAAAAAAAAAACTGACCACCACTCAAGAGATGAAAAAGATGCTCGACAGATTGAGTTGTAAAAGGATAGCACCCACTAGCTTGGAACAATAAACTAAAAACTTTTAAAAAGTGCAGTACTAGCATTAACCAACAAAATCTTGGACCACACGAAGCTTATAGTTTCTGGTAGTATGGATACAGGGTATCCTATTGGCACAACTTTTATGTTTAGAATGTTCACATGCCAGTTATTGGCCAGCCAGCAACCTTTTAATAAAAGATGTGATGTGTGATGGCCCTTTAAAGAGATTCTACGAGGAGTGGGCATTAGAGGAGTTGCAAGTTCGCAGTTCATTTCTTAACTCTCCTTGCGATGCTAACATCTTTTAGTGAAAAGTAGTGTGCATTAACAACAGCACTTACAGATTACAGCAATGTATAAGAGAATGCTGCACAGTTCAGTTTTGCATGTTGTATTCACTGCAGAAAAATGGTGTTGCAAAGAACCTGGGCCTCGGCAAACTGTCCCAGTACGAGTCCGAGCTCGTGAAGGCGGCGCTGCCAGAGCTGAAGACCAACATCAAGAAGGGAGAGGATTTCGTCAAGAAGTAAAATGCTGACCTCTGAATTGAAGTATAGCTATCATTGAGAGTGTGTCAAGTGCCCATCAGTGGATACATCGCAACTAAATAAAATACCCATTGGATGTGTGAAAGTGTCTGCAGTTGCATTAGGTGCTTGAGAAAGTTACTTTCACGTAAAGTACAAGAAAACTTCTCCATATTGGTGCCAATAAATCCTGCAACAACAATTGCCATTTACACTTAGCTGGTAAAGGCAATGCCTTAGAATGTGTCTTTAGCGCAGCACTTGACAAGAGACACCACAAGCTCTGAAGTCTTGTTACAACACGCCCTACTTCATTCTCTGCTACTCCTTACAAAGCATGATATGTGGGGTTTGACATCCCAAAGCCACCATATGACCATGAGAGACGCCGTAGTGGAGGGCTCCAGAAATTTCAACCACCTGGGGTTCTCTAGCCTGCACACAGGCCCTACAGCATTTTTACCGAAAATGCACTTGCCGCAGCTAGGCTTTGATCCCGTGACCTGCGGGTCAGCAGCCGAGTGCCTTAGCCACTGTGTGGGGGAGTATACTACTCACCCCTGCCTGCCTATATCTTTGTGGACAGGCTTATGCAGTGTTCGCTTACATGACTGTTTATAATGAAATAAGGCAATTCTGGGCAGGTTACACCCCTTGCAGTCTTGTCTGCTCCTGTCCAACATTTCCGTAACAGTCATCAGTTTGCGGCTCGAGGTCAAATTCGGTGGGTTTTCTCACAACATAAACGAGGATTGTAATTTTTTGAGGTAGCTCTCGCCATTCTTGTTTTTCTGTCCATGGAAAAAAAAAAATGATCCGTAATGGTCTGGAAGTTTTTCTTGTCCAAAAGAAATTTCAATGCAAATTAACAGTACAGTTGAACCCCTTTATAAGATACAAATATAGGAGACCAGTGCACCCACACTGAAATAGATGTCCAAATGCACGCATGGTACTGCACATGAAACAGCTTGTATAAAAGACAATAATTGCTCCCCAGTGCACGTTTCTTATAGAGGAATTGAATTCCAGTACCCTTATTTATGGTTACAGGTAAATTTTGAATGCTCGAAAAGAACTAATTCATTGCCAGATGCCAGAACGCAACTGGCAATGTTGCCAGAACACATTGCCAGTTTGGATAAAAACAAAAAAACTTCAGTGCTGAGAATGCTTTCTCCACACTAACCCGTGCAAGTGGCACACCAAGGGCAATTTTCACTTGTATATCTGGTTGCTGCTCCTTTCATTCTTTCCAAATTCATACTTATTATTTGTACATTTTCTACATACCTGCAAAGAGTTTATGGCGCAAAAAAAAAAAAAAAAAACGCGAGAGAAGCTTGTTAAGAATGAACCAACTGGCCTAACAAGTCACTCTACATACCAGCTTCGACAGTACTTGCAAATTGAAACAGAACTATTTACGGCTAAATATTACACATACTTTCGTTTCCACCATCTTTACTTTGGGCAATACTGCATAATTTCGACTCCCTGAGATCAGAACCAACATTATCTTTAGAGACCAGATTTATTGCAACATGGCGGGGTTATCTGTGGCACATGTGCATAATAGCCGTTAAAAAAAAATTGATGTTGCAATTGAATCTATGATTACATGTTCTAAATCGGTCAGTCTTGAAACACTGTTTGCAGGCTCCATGTGGCCTATAGATGTTTTGCTAGTAGCCCACGGCTTCACTATGGAATGAATTATTTGCAACTTTCCAAATGTTACTCGTTATTAATTACTGGCAGATTCCGATTTACTCTGGGACACTGCAGAGGCTGGACTGGTCTCACGCATTTTTTTTTCTTTAGGAACATACGGTCATGTCAACTTGTGGCCACATCACTTGGTACAGCTAGGGAAGCCTTCTTCAAGTCTGTGCCAAACAGAGGCACGCACCTGAAGGCTTCCTAGCTACAGCGTTCTTTTGCGTGTTCGTGTTGAGTGTTTGTGTTGAAGGAAAGCGAAGGCAGACACACGAGACAGCTGGTAAACAAACCAAAACAAAACTCTATTCATAGTTTCCACCAATGAGCACTGTGAATCTGTATTTAAGAACACTCACAACAGAGGACAAAAAGAAAGACCACGACAGGACGAGTACACCGCACATTTTTAAAAAGACCTACAAGAGACTTGTGAGGAAGATGGAAATATTCTTCCCTGGAAGGCACAACATCAAACTCCACCCAATTCATAGAAGTGTGCTGACTAATACACATTTGGAGAGCATTCCACCTAAGCAGTGTGCAAACAGTAGTAGTAGTAGTAGTAATAGTACAGTAGTAGTGGTGATGAACAGCAGTTGTTAGTAGTCGTGTACAAAACACACACACACCCACGAGAAGAAAAAAAAAACGGTACGCTGACGAAGAGCACATGCGCACAGAAGCTACGGGTGACGTTTTACAAAGGCTCTGCTCTCGACAAACAATACCAAACAGGCACGGCACACAGCTTGCGAGATAGGCAAGCGCCACGCATATTCATGGAACTCTCTTTCGTGAAGACTCGAGCCGATTCCGTACAAATGCTGCCACTTTTGACGATAAATGCAGCACACACACAATTACTTTGCAAAATGGCCATGCAAGATGGCCTACATTACCAGCAAATTGTCAAGCAACAAAGATTGCCACAGCCAGATACAGTTGGTGCTTTGTCCTTCTTTGAATGATAGCAGCAAAAGCCTTACACGAATGTACAAACTTAATAGGAAAAGGGTGCTGCAAGACACCACCACAGCCTGCTTTTCAAAATCTGAATCAAAATTTCCTACTTGTGTCACATGCAGCTTCATCTCTAAATGCATGAGGCATCATGACAATGTTTTTGCAATGTTTTCAAATAGCAGCAACGTCTTACAACAAACTCAATGCTTCAGGCGAAATTTCCTCTACTGTAAGTGCATTCTCATTGTCCTAGAAAATTTTCCAGACACTGAATTTCAAGTGTAAAATTTTTTTCTTTCTCTTCCCAAATCAGTACGCCTGCTTACACAAGGCTGCTTGAAGTCCCTTCACACTTTCAAACTAAGCATGTCGAAGGCCATCTTATCTTTCTCAGTGTTGTGTGAAGCTTCTGCTGCAATTACATGCAGGTGAAAGCACCAATGGTGGATTTTGTAATCAGTGGAACGCCAGTCTGCTGCAATACGACTGCATAATTGGAGCACATTTCACTAATATCAGGCATTCATCTCATAAACACCAGCACCTCCTGTGTTTACAACCTCCTCTTGGCCCAAGATGCCAAAATTGCTGCAGGTTCGTTTACAGGAAGTAGTGAACCAACGACGAGTAGGGGTCGCGCTCGGGAGCTGTCGCTGTCGAAGGTACATGCTTTGCGCAGCCCAAGTAGCTAAACTGGAGCAACTGAGACGAGATTGATGAATTGAATGCAAATCTTGGTGACATTATTTTGAGACAACTATCGACTGTTTCTGGGTAGCCAATGCAGGCATAATATCCTCCACTGCTTTGAGGCAATGTCCATGGTGTTACATTGCCCTGCCTGTACTCGGACAATCTTAAGAATCGTGTGAAGGATAGCAAGATGACTGCAGGAATAATTGAACTGCTTGTAACTTGCTCGTTTCACAAAAACAAAAAATTTTCTTGCAACCTTCGTAAATAAAGCTGCAAAACTGTCAGATGAAGGCGCTTAAGTGCCAGTAGAGAGAGACGGCTCCAGAGCAATACTCCCGTAAACCAAATGCACTATTTCCAACCTGTAAAAAACTACAGCAAGACTTTCTATTCTTCCCGAAAGGCATGCGCCAGATGCAATGCCACTTGCTACTAGTACGCAGTAGCACATTTCGTCACAGCCTCAACTTTGAATGTTTCCTTGCACCATATCTCGGCTGCAAGTGCCCACTACAGAGACACAGTATGACAAAACATCACGACCTTCATTGACTACATTTTTTTTTTTTTGTCAAACACGCACAGATTATCTACAGCGGAAAGAAAGGCATGAACCGAGCGGCACAGTAGAGCGTAACACTACATTTGCCAGTCAATAGTGGCAAGATGACAAACATTACAGAGTGGCAAAACACCAAAGTGAACCTGCTTTCATCACATACATTACTAGTGAAATATGCAAACACTGGTAAAATAGTATAGTAGTAATAGCACTAGCCTGTGTATTGAAGAGTACCATCAAGGAGTGTCACTAAACAAAGAAGAGGGGGGGGGGGGGGGAGGGGCAGAAGCTATTGCCTCACCTTAAGTGTAGGAAACTTAAAAGAATACGAAGTGGAGGAGGGAGGCTGGCTGGCCAAAGCAACCAGGCTGGAGAGAATGTGCAAATCGTACTTCTGATAGATATGAGGATGAAAATAACGCTAAATGTCTGAGGGGTTGAGGCGGTGGGGTGCCGACAATGGAAGGCCGAGATTGTCGTACCCGAGGTTTTAGATGGCGGCAGTCGTACATTCTAAGCAATCGGCAGTGGAAACTCCCTTCTGACATAGAAGATGCGTTCTAATAGAACCGCAAATGAATGGAAATCCATCTCTCTATTTGATGCGCTATATCTGGGCATACACCAGGCTACTTGACAACTGCAACGTTCTTCCTTCGCCAGCCTGCGCACCATTCATGCTCAACAAAATTGTGCCTTGGCAATGACGGTGGACCTTGGTAAGTCCGTAGTTTCCTGAACCTACAGGAAGAGCCGCTTAAAAAACTGTACCAAGCAAGATGTGCAAACCCTAATCTTGTAATGGTGGACAACATATACAGCTATCTTAATTGAAACTCGCTAGGCATTTCTTGTGGCAGATATAGCAAAACTGTCATTACATCTTGTTTACTTGAAGAGGTAGACAAAGACTACAGGTGATTTACAGCTATTTGTGCTCTCTACAAAATCTCACAATCTTGTCACTTAAAATGTGCCTCCTAATTGCAGTCTTTAAGCCCAGAGGCAACAATGGAATATGCAGTAAACCAAAACACAGCATCGAGTACTATGATCCATATCAAACGTGAACCATTCAATACTTTCACTTGAACTGCAACACCCACCACAGAAGAGCTTCTAATAAAACAGTTTCCATTGAAATAGATCATCACGTTTACCACAATCACATTTTGGTTGGTTCCCTAGTTGCTTCATACAGACCTCTGCGGCAAGTGGGACATTGCACACAAAAAGAAACGGCTAAAGAGCACCCGTCTTTTCTTATGCCTGTACTGGCTAAATTGAATGTAGATTTCGGCACGACGTATGCCCACTGAACACAGACATGGTGACTCCAGGAACAACTGCACCCACAGCTCTAGCCGAACATCCACACTGAATTTTCAGCTGAAAACCTCTGCCTGAACAGCTGAAGAATGCACAGATCAGGGGGGGGGGGGGGTCTATGTCGGGAAATGTAAGCACTAGCTTTGTTGCAAACTGCTTTGCTACCTTCACATGGACAGAATGGGAAGCTAGATGACTATGTACAGCACAGCCTTTCCCTGCAGCCTGTATAAAACTGCATGCTACAAAATGTTTCGTCATTTTGTTTTAACAATTTGTTAGCACCTTGAAGCTTAAGTTTTCTTTTACCTTCGTTCTAATGTGTTATTCAGCACCATTAACTGGACCCAATCTTGCACCTATGTTTCACGAAAAGTGATGTTTAACGTCTAGTCGTCTCTAATCTGCGAAGCGTTGCTCCTGAATCGAAACCTTTACTATCTAACTATTAGGATCTGAACTCTTACCCATGACATTTGCCTAACCGTCTGCTTTTACTAGAACTGCTGCCTCCACAGAGCTTCGCCATAAGATGTTTTATTCAGACCCTAATGCATAACAAGAAGAATAGATATTCAATGAACGCATTCGGTCTATACATCTCAAATTCTTCGATATTATGGACCTAACGAGGCTGTTTCACTAACAGAGAGCATAATTTCATTTTACAGACTGCTGTTTTGCTTCTTTAATTTTTCACTTAGAAAAGGTCCAGCCAGTCGCATTTACACAAAAACGGTCAGACCAAAGGTCAATGTAAGACGCACAAGTCTTTACGACTAGTTTCTCATATAATGTTAGGAGTTCCCCCCCAAGTCAAAGTCCAAAAGCCCCCACAAACTAGGAAGAGGGAAAAAACATTACCCGAGAAACACGAAAAACACAAATAAGTTATATTATAGTACATGGCAGGAAATTGACCCACACATCTGTCCACGCCAAGACAACCTTCAAAAAAAAAATGGAGGTCCAGAGATCTGGCTGCAATTATGTTGGCGCTGCCAAAGTGTTAGTAAAGTAAAAAAAAAACAACACCACGAGAAGCACTTGTTCTTTGGCACGTCAATAGCTAAAGAGTGTGTGTGGGGTTAGTGCCAAAACAGAAGGTTAATAAAGGGTGTTGCAAAAGTCACTGACTTACAAAACGGTGTTTATGAACAGCTACATGCATCAACTACACATTGCCACTACAAATACTTCGTGCGCACCGAGGTGCTTCTTGCATACTTTCGCCACCGCCAGCTAATAAGAGACGCAGATTTTTTTTTCTTTTTTTTAAATGAAGAAGTTCTTTGACACTCACTGCAGTAATATACATTTTACCGTGTATGTACATTGGTCACATCAAAGGATAAGTGACACTTTGTCAGATTTTTTGCGGACAGAATTTAAAAAAGTGTGCCAAGGTACAGAAGGATCTTGTGCAAGTCGAATGGAATAAGCCCGTAACTTTAGCATACCTGCAACAATCACGGAAAAAATGTGCAGATATATGTGCACAAGTCTATTCCCATAGACATATGAGAGTCGAATGGAAATAAACCCACAAAAGTAATGGACATGCAGCAGTTATGGAAAAAATGTGCGGATATATGTCAGCAGTAAACTGAGAAAGAGGAAACACAGACGAGCCACAGCAAATGGCAATAAGCAAATAAGGGAGGGAGAGAGAAATGAAAACTGTCCTGCAGTAAGTCGAGAAGGCTGTGATAGTAGTTGTTAACCTCGCTATGTACAATGCTGCTGCATACAATGGTTTGCAAGTGTACAAAAAGTTCCTATGTGTGTGTAGGGGGGGGGGGGGGAGAGGCAACACTTGCACACTACATGTATTACGATGGTATGAAACATTTCACTTGAGTGACAGCCCCTTCTTTTTTTTTTCTGTGAATACAGGGCACACACTTTAAAAACAAAAAATAAATCAACCACCTATGTGTGATAGTGTAATGGAGGGGAGGGGCGACAAAAAAAGCCAAGAAAAGTGCAACATACTGAGATCATACTAAAAAAAGGTGTGTTTCATCACCACATGAATGACAATGCTTTGTTAACAACAGTACCAATCACGGCAGTTGTATCAACACCAGCAAACACACTAAATGGAGGACAATCTGGGTAATTAGTGAACACACCAGGACAAGCAATAACGTGAACGTAAGAAAAAAAAAAAAAGCAAGACATGGCATCGATTTGTCGTTTACATGCGCCCAAAAGCTGAACTGCACAAACGTGAAAACCGTGCCACAGTAGCTACCCGATGTACCGCATGCAACAAACACAACAAAATAAGACTGGTGGTGGTGGGCGAGTGAATGAATATGCAAAACACAAAAGAGGACGAAAAAAATGTGATAATGCAATTTAAAAACCGCACTGTGAAACATAAAAAAAAAAACGTTCAGCAGAACACCTATTTAATTATTCACAAAAAAAAATGGCTAGTATTCAAATATGAGGTTTCTTACACGCATATGCCAGACATCTGGAGAGCCACAAAGCTAGTGGAGTACTGCAAGGCGGACCCTGCCCATTAGCCCAGAAACCTCAGACTCAACGACATTTTTACTGCTACTACTCTGGCAGATACCTGTACAGTACCTAAATTTTTTTTTTTTTCACGAGGTGGGGAGCAGCTCAAACAATGAATTACCCAATTTGTTGGCGTGCACTATTGTGCTTAGGAATAATCTTGTCGCCACACACAAAAAAAAAAAATTGATCTCCAGGCATTAAATTTCTAATGTAAGCCAGATTCCACTAATTAAGGTGCCAACTAGTATTCAGCCATATAAGAGACCAGAGAAAAAATGCCACGAACTAGCCAAATCAAGAAAAAATGAGGCAGAAGAAAGGAAGACTGGAGAGGATTCTCGGACAGCGGGCAATTAAAGAACACAACTTTTCTGCGGGAGAGAAAGAGAGAGAAAGAAATCTGCGTGTTTGTTACCACACACCAGTTCCCTCCCTCTTGTATGTCCTTATGTCTGTTTCTAGCTAGCTATGAGGAGTACAAAATACAATGTACATGAATGAGCGAGCATGAATGGTAATGACGTATGTACATGCTTTGGTCCGAAGAGACGTTTTTTTTCCCCAGTGTACACGCAGGCCGTTCCTTTCGCAGTACGAAATGCACAGTGGGGACAAGAAAGCGAAGAAAGAAGCGACGCATTCAGCCTCCCAGAACGCCAAGATGCAAGAGAGTTTTCCGAAGAAGCACAGCACACCCCTGGGCTCTAGTGACCTAAAAAAAAACTAGCAGAATGCAGCACAGGGCTGGCATCACTACCATGATAAGGATATATATCCGATTTGGCGAACACCGGGTTTCTTCAGGTTCGAACAGGCTTCGTTTTCTGAATGCTTTAGGAGTGCTAACTACGGATCACACAGCATTACATTAGGCAAGTGCCAAGAGCACAAGGTTTACAGCAATATTAAAAATTGCCGACATACGAGACTACTTAAAAGCAGTGAATGTGAAGGTAGCCACGTGCCGAAACAAATCTCGGGGTCGGTTAGCTTAAGATGACACTTTGATCACATACTTCAGCAAGTAAGCTGGCCGAGGGAGACTGTTGCGAAAGGTACTACCAAATTGGGCCTTTACAGAGGGTGAAAGCGTGCAAAAAGACACACACACACATAGAAGGGAAACGACAGTCAGTTATCACAGTAAGACATTACAACAGCTTTCTCCCAGACTGTACTTTTTTTTTTATTTAGAGACCCCCTATGGCAAGTTTCTCATATCAAACAAATACAAAAATGTGGCATGCAAATACACACATACTCAAGCACACTTAAAAAAACTGTGTACTCCCCACACATGACCCACAGACAACCATGACTTGCAGACAGCTCCATGCTCACACGGGGACACGACAAAAGAAAAGAAAAAAAGAGGGGGGGGGGACATGCTAATCCCTCTACGATAATGAGGACGTCAAGAAAGCAGGACAATGTCACACAGGAAGGAAAACGAGGTGGGTGAAATGAATATTCGCATTCTCTTTATCTTTACTAAGTCCCCAAGAGAAGAACACCTTGGGTAGGAGGCTTGGAGTGCCGACGAAAGGTGTGTCGTCACGGGTTGACTACACTTGCTTGGGGCAAGCGACACATGGCCAGGCATTGCATTGCGTGAAAATTCGTCCCAAAAACCTCTCGCACTGCGCGATGGTCCCCTGACAAATTTCACCGAGCCGAATACCGAGAGACAGATGGACTTAACTCCAGCGCCTTTCTTTCCCGATGCCACAAACGCCCATCATCTTCACGTACACGAACCAAATTACATAAGGGCCTCCATAAGAAATCCGAAGTAGAATGCAGCAGGATTTGCAAAAAGTTGGGAATCCTGCCATCAAGACAACACACTGAACGAAAATGGAGGAAAGGGAGAAGAGAAAAGCGTTCGGTGATAAAAGGCAAGAGTGAAGCTTGAAAAGAAAAGAAAAGCAAATCGCTTTCTTCCTCCATCCCGCAGGTGTCACCGAAAAAAAAGATAGTAAAAGCGACTCCGCATTCCAGCCTTGACTCCGTATTCCAGCCTTGACTCCTACTAAATTGGCTCCTACTGCAGAGCCGTTTTGTACCTTTCCTCAAAGCTGGACATACTCTTGGCCCATCACAAGACAGCTGCAAGCTTCTTTCCGAGCGTTTGCGGCCGAGTCGCTCAACAGATAGACAACCCCAAATTAAAGAAAAAGCTCCCGCCGCCTCGACTCGCACCCTTAAAGCCGAGAGGCCTCCCCATCAACACTAATCCCGTGTGCGTGTGTGTGAAAGAGAGACAGTCGACAGCAGCCGATCTCGCACTGGTGCCAAAAGTGTCGGGCAGCAGCCGAGTTGGCTCAACAGTGATGCTGCTGCCACTGGGGGGCCCGAGGAGGGAGCAGAGCCGCCACTGTTGACGGGCAGTGATGGTGGCAACAGTGATCGCAGCAGTGGTGAACGACGCGCCGGTGAAGTTGCGGCGGCTGCTGCGGCCTTTGGGCCCCCAATGCTGGCAACAGCAAGGGTCACGGGTGGTGCAGGGGAGGACGCCCGTGTCACTCCCACTGGTGGGGCGACGGAGGCAGCTCAGAAGGGTGTGCCACCGTCGAACTGCGCCAGCAAAGACACCGGCTGTCAGGCTTGTGACAGTCACTAGAGACCGAAGCAAGCTGCCACGCAGACAACACAACACTCCAGCTGTAGTGCTCACTCTGCAGCAGATTTCATGCACTGTCCTTATCGTTATAGCCATAGTTTACCCATCCAAAGACGAAAGAAGGCCTCTCTTCGTGGTATTACATCTAGCGCCGCATCACCCAGTTCTTTACGATTCAAGCGTGTGTTAATTGCACCAGGGAGGAGAGGAATGGAAGAAATTAAAGGCACGTAGGTCAACCAGTCGCACGTCCAGTTTGCTACCCTGCACTGGGGGAAAGGGTGAGGAGATTAAAAGAGAAGAAAGAGAGGAGAAGTGAAGGGCAACGTGTGTGTAGATGTGACCTTGTCCATTGCACGCTTATGAGCGGTCACATAGTCCAGTCGTCTTTAGAAAACCTAGCAATGCTCGCATTGCTTTGCTGGCCTGCGACGCGTAGAGCCATGAACCAAGGATCTTCTTTTCGGAAAAAGGTCTACTATCTAGTTTCTGTAACGTTTTGTGTAGGAAGTTGCGTTCGCTTGGAAAACGCTCACATGAACACAGTAAATGTTCTATTGTCTCGTCAGTATCGCACGGTTCACATCTGGAGCTATCCACCATTCCTATGCGAAAAAAAAAAGGAGTACGCCTTCGTGAAAGCTACACCTAACCACAGGTGGCACAATAAAGTTGCATCCCTGTGGGAGAGGTCCGATGGAACTTGGATCTTTTTTCGATGGGTACAATTTATGTAGGTAGTTCTCGACAAGGGTATTGGGGTTGTCTGGGTGTCCGCGTGGGCGGAGCAGGCAGCATCATCAGCAAGGTTGTTACCGACAATGCCACAATGTCCCGGCAACCACTGGAACACCACATCATGTCCTTTCGATAAAACTTCGTGAAGCACTTCTCTTACTTCATTTACTAGTTGTTAATGCACCCTTTGTCACAAAACTGATTGCAAGCTCTGAAGGGATGCCTTAGATTCGCAGAACACAGCCAGTTTTAGAGGCCGAGCTTCTGTTATATAAAGTATAGCAGCACGTAAGGCGGCAAACTCCGCTGCTGTGGATGTTGTCCTATGAGACAGTTTGAACTTTATAGTAACTTGGTACATCGGGATGACAGCAGCACCTGCGGAGCTGTCAGCCAGGACCCGACCTTTGTTAACCATTCAGTCTCTGATGTGGATGTTAAAAAAGTACTAGTGACAACCTATCAGCGAATGAGACAACCTATCAGCAGGAAAAGCACACAGTACAGTATAACCTCGGTTACAACAGATCTGCTTACAACAGACATTTGGACGCTACATACTAACTGGTAGCGTTATACTGATCTTCCTATTTGTTCCACTGATTGAGCTTGTTTACAATAGATTCTGGTACAACGGACATTGATTCGGATATAACTGACTAAAATGTGAGGCCAGCAAGGTGGTCAAGACTCCCTCACAGCGAACTTTTCTACCACACACATCATAAATTGTATGACTTGGGACTTCAAACATCTTTCGGCATACTTTCGGGACGAGAATAGCGCCAAGGATATCGGCGTACCCATTTAAGAACGAAAGGTCACTCCAGTCTGTTGACGATCTCCAGTCTGTTGACTATTAGTTATGCCCAGCTAACCGTGACGAAAAATCTGTGCGCAGCGTTCTTGGTTTTGTGTGTTGAGGGCTGATGCGTGCTGCTGGTCGCTGCCACCACTGTTCTGAGCGGTCGGTGCGTGGCGAGCTTGGCCAGGGTGTCATACCAATGCGCGAGATGGCTATTAGCGGTTCTAAAGAGCCAGCGGCCGACGTGATTCGTTGCTTGCGACAAAGTACAACACGGCTTCTTCGTGTTCGCATACCGGCAAGCACCACTGTCTTGCCCTTTAGGTTCGGGACGAAGTTGGGCCTAGTTATGACTTCAAGCAGATGGCACAGTTGTGATGTGCATGGTCGTGGTACCCGATTTTTCAAAGTGCAACATGCTCAATCGCGAATTCAGACTAGTCCCACGGTTGTCTTCGTCACAAGGTGCAAAGCGCTGATAAGCGAGTGAACGCTATGACAGTCAGTTCGAAATGCGCGTGTGCAATGTTTGCAACGAGTGCGACATGCGATTATAATCTGATGACTGAACTGAATGTGGCAGCCTTAAGTAAGGTGTCATTGTACCCTGAATTATCATTGACTCGTGAACACAGAACGAGTGCAAGAATGTCACTAATTAGCGCCTTTTTAGACAGCCCCGATGTACAAGAAGGAGACGAAGCTATCCTGGAGGCCTACCTCGGGATGAGCATCGGAACAATGGCGAGGCGTACTAGATCAACATGGCAGAAGCAGCCAATCGGAGGCCTCAAAATTAATTTCAAACATCTGCTTTTTGAATAGTGAATGCTCTTTACGAAGTATTTTATGACGAGCCCAGAACGGTCGAAGGCAGTTGTGCTAATGCGAAGCTATATATTTTTTTTAATAGCAGCTTTTTTTTTCGGGGAGTGGGGGGGCAGGGGGACATTTACAATGATTTTCACCCTATTGGCAGGCGTTTCAAGAAAAGTATGTTGTAGGAACACTTCCTCCTTTTACATACTCCTTTTACAACAGACCAAAATCCTCATCACTATGGAGGTCTGTCGTAGTGAGGTTATGCTGCAATTACCTTCAGCAAAAGTAGGAGCACAACATGCACGACACTTGAGCAAGCATGACAGTGCAAGAGCAACATTGTGTGCGGTTGCACACAATGACCCGTAAGAGATTTCTCCGTAGTTGTGTGCAAACTGTGCAGGCAGCGATGCCAGCAGCTTGTTTAGTGGCATCTCTAATAGCAGCACTTCTCACCTAGCAAAGCTCTTGAAAGCAGTAGAAAGAGGGTTGATGCAGAGTGGGACCCGGTTTGACGTGGCACACTTTTCCAGAATGAACTTGTGCAGTTTTTCTGCGTGAAGAGTGAAAAAACAACTGTGACTTGTCTGCTTTGATCATTCACAATATATGCACCACATTACCACATGTAGCATGCACAAAACCATCAGCCCATCGAATCTAAAAGCTGGATGCGTGAATTCAGGGATCACTACCTTGTTGGAGCATTTGTAAGCAACGCAGTCAATATGTCTTGTTCTAAAGGCGGTGAAGTATTTTTTCTGGGAGATATGTTAGACAACCACAAGAATCTAATAGAAAATCCGGCCAGAGAAGCATAGAGGATGATAATTAGTCTTTAACAGTAGTGTACCAATTGTGTCATAAATGGAAATGACTAGTGTAGATGAAAATTCGCCCTTTTTGTTGGTGGCATCTGAACTTGCAACCATCGAATTGCAAGTCAGACGCTTAACCAATTGAGCTACGATGGAAGGCACTTGGACCTCCAATACTGACATGTCTGCTTCTAAATACAGCTCTACATAGCATCACTGAATAACTAATGGCAAAGGTAGCTTATCACAATTTAAAAATTTTGACATAGGTGACTGTTGTTTCAACATTCACTGCTTATCACACCTCTTTATTCTCAGTTAATGTACAACTATAGTCCGTTCAGGATACCCTACCGTTCTTGGAACCCAATGCTTGCTTTCCTCAGAGCTGTTACGATAAGAACTGTAACCACAACCTACTCACCTTTCACTTGGTGCACAGACAGAAGTTCCGACTCAAAGGAGTCGTCGAAGGCGTGTGGTGCAACTGGCTCAAAGTCAGCCACATAGCAGCGACCTGCCGGTGTGCTCTGGCAGCAGCGGCACATGCACGAGTGGTATCGCAGCCGCCCTTCCTCCAGGTAGGGGTGTGACAGGGCATCCGCACAACTGATGCGCTTGTCCTGCGTCAGTGTGGTTAGCGCACAGCTGTAGCTTTACCATAAATGTTTTGTCACAGGGTGTAGTGACCAGTAGAGCAGAATTTCAAGACTGAGCGGGAATAACCACTTCAATGTGCAAAGGTGCACCCTGTGTCAATGGCAGGTGCAGCTGCCCATCGATGGATCAGTGGATCAAACAAAAAGGAATAGCTTTGTGCACTTTCAATCATACTGGGCTTACAGTTGCATGAATGCAACAAAACAATTACCGTAATTACTGGAATGTAACGCACACCTTTTTTCCGGTTAAGCGAGTTCATAAATCGCATGCGCGTTAAAATCGAGTACGAAAAAAAAAAATGAATACGGCCATTCCCTTGCCATTGGCATTTTCAAAATGGCCGCCCCCTACGTGCGTCGGCATGGCGCGGCGGCCATTTCTGCCTATGTGTTTCCCATGTGCGGCACTTCGTACGTGTACTGTGGAGTTCGTCATCTTGTAGTGCATTAGCATCGACAGCATGGAAGGGCCGACTCCAAAAACTCGAGTGCACCACGATGCCGCTTTTAAAAGAAAAGTCATGTGTGCAGAAACGGACGGAAATCGGGCCACATCGCGGTCGTTCAAAGTTCCGGAAACGTGCGTGCGGGACTGGCAGAAACAAAAGCAGAAGATTGTGTAGGTGTTCTGCGAGATTGTCGACAGAAAAGCTTCACGCAAAGGCTTCAGTAGACCACAGCAGGGTCGGTTTCCGCAAATTGAAGAGCTGCTCGGCGAGTATGTGTTTGAGCAGCGAGCGGCCCATGACGACAGAACTGCTCCAAGTGCGGGCTATGCAGTTAGCCTTAGAAAAAGGGCTAATGCGGAGCCAGTTGAAAGCGAGCAGGTGCTGGCTAACTAACTTTATGACGAGGAAAGGCTTTTCCCTCCGAAAGCGAACGGGCATATGCAAAAAGTTTCTGGAGGAGTACGATGAAAAAGCTTCACAGTTTTCAGAGGTTCGTCCTAAACTTGCAGCACAACAACGGCTACCTGCCTTGGGCAAATCGGGAATGCCAATCAGACGCCTCTTTACTTCGACATGCCTGGCACCACAACCGTCGAGAAGGGGGCGAAGCAAGTTCGCGTGCTGACATCGATCCACGGTAAAACTACAGCGATGGCAATGCTCTGTTACACGTCAGATGGGCACAAGCTTCCGCCGTACTTCATATTTAAATAGAAGACGCTCCCGAAAGGAGTAGTTTTTTCAAGTGGTGTGATCGTGCGGGCCAACGAGAAAAATGGGTGCGCGTAGCAATCAATGTCTTGTTTTTCTTTTTTTTGTCGTGGAAACCGGGTGCGCGTTACAATTGAGGGCGCGGTAGAATCGAGTAAATACGGTAAGCGTCTGTCTGCAGCTACAAAAGAAAAGTGAGCAACTAAGGACACTGCAAGAAAATATGGCAGTATACGGAATGCCCCATTGCTGAGAGATGTACGTGCAAACATTAGGTTTGGTGGTGCCATTCTGCAGCCCAGCATTAAACTCGTGGTTTGGACACAGCATCGCAAGCTCTTTGTACCAGTGTTATCACTAGAGAACGGATTATAGGCAAATGCCTATTTTGTTTATGACATTCCTATCATGCCACTTTGAAATATGAGCATGAATTAGAGGTTAAGAAGAGCTTTTATAGTGTTTTTATAGTGCCTATCAATGCCTATTCTTGACATTTGTGGCCGAATTCCTTTCACTGCCTATAAATGCCTGTTTTCAATATCGGTGGCTATATTAATGCTATTTAACCTCAAATTTTGCTTTCGAGTACAGTTAGAGACCGGTATTCAAGTCACCAGTCAAGATTGAGCTTTCAGATGGGGTGCGACCGATACTTCATCTCATAAGTTCCTTTCAGCATTGTCAAGTCTACAAAGCCTCTTAGCCTCTACACATGTTTTCATCCGCGTTGCATCGTCCGCCCGGCATCACCCCGACATCTGCTCACAAGCGTAGAGAACAGGAGGTGCTTCTGTGCAGCTGCAGGACGATGGAGAGCGAATGCAAAATCATGGAGTGTCATCTGGGGAAAGTAGAGTGTAGGTAAATAAAAGATGTCCAAGCGGTTTTTAAATAAGTGTTTTGGTTGTCATTCACTTCTTAAACGGCACTTCAATGGCTCATATAGGAAATTTCACTTAGCGCCTGGAATTATTTGCGTGTCCAATGAAAAGCTTTGCACAGCTATATTTTCTAATTGGCTCATTACAAGGCACGAAAGCATGATGGGAGGAGATGAGCTTGAAACCTCTGCCACTCGCCCCGGTGTAACCTTCGCAAGCCAACTTTCTTCCCTGCTTTCTTCGTTATTGGAGCCAGAACATCACACGATGCAGACGAATCAACATGTCATGCCCACGCAAGGTTACATATTCGTGACATTCTCTGTATTGTACTGCCTGTTTCTGTGGAATGGATCCCTCCATGCGGGCACATTTGAAGAGACTGGCATGGATAGTGTATTCTTACCACAATACACAGCGTCGCATTGCTGGAACTGTTCTAAGGAATGATGCACCAAAAATACGCCAAGTATTGTGAATGCTGGTGCCAGCATGATGCGAGAACGGTGAAAACACTAACCCAAACGAAATGGAAGCAGCTTAGTCTCGCATCTCGCTCGATATGAAGCTAAAAAAAAATCACATGCACAGATTCCGTTTGTATGTTTTAATGATTCTGTAAACCTTCATACTTCTTTTTAGGCAACAGATAGCACATATTGCATGCACACGTCGCCTCGAATAATTCCCGCAGTGTCACATACTACTTTGACAAACGCAGGACCATTCCTTGTTATATACGTCACCTCCACCATGTTGGGACTCCCGCCCGTGAGAGAAAGGTCAAGCAGCATTCAATCTGACATTTCACCTCTTTTGGGGTGGGTATCATTGCAAATCTTGGCAGGTGAGATCGTGAGCGCACAGTGCATGCATTCCTATTGCCGAAATTATGAAACCTGGTGGAAGGCCCTTTAAAACGTGTTCCCAAAGAGAATAGAAAGTGACCCTATGTGGTTAGACCAAGGTAATACGAGGCAAAAAGACTCCTCTAGCCTATTAGCGCTCGGGCTATTTGCTCCAGTGTTGCCTATCCGAGCAGCGCCGAAAAGAAAGAGATGCACAAGCGTGTGCATTCGACAATGGACACTTAACTCACCATCGTGTACTAGAAAAGAAGAGACCGTATTCTGCAAACCCTGAGAAGAAAAATGAATGGCTATGCTAAAATATTGGAGCCTTTGTACTATCATAAACTAAAACTTTCGTGTTTGCTTTCTTTCCGTAGGCACAGATCCCACACATATTTTTTTTTTTTGAAAACTAGAATTTGTCACACATATTTTTTTCGAAAACTAGTATTTTGTCTAAGTTTTTTTTGTGCCTATGTTTACGATTTTAGGGGCTTAAAACAGTGTTTTGCCCGCCCATTTTTGGTGCCTAAAGCCCGGTTTTATAGTGCCTATAAATCCGGCTTCTAGTTATCACCATCCACACAGCTGCTAGCTTGTATGCCATGAAGAGCAACACATGTGAGAACAAGATGACATTCTACCTACCTTAGCAGGACATTTTAATGCACAGTTTTGGCTATATGATACGCCTGTTTTTCATGGTGGAAAGGTTAGGTCAGGCTACTTTCATACTTTTTCAAGAGACTTACTGTGTAACCTCGAATATTTGATTATGGGACATTATGTGCCAAAATCTTGATCCTATTATGAGGCATGCCGCAGCAGCCCTTATTGTACACTGGGTTCTTCAGTGCACTCCCTCAGTAATGTGGCTGCCATGGCCAGGATCAAACCTTTGACTGACCAGCACAATAACGTAGCTATTCAGCTGCCATAGTGGATCATCTTACACTTGTGTACGTTCCATCCCTATGTGCTTACTCATTCAATGCATCAGCCAGAGAGAGAGAGAGAGATGGAGAGAGAAATGTGCACATACAGGGTTGAAGACAAGCATTTGGCAGAGCAGGTGGACAGCCTCGTGCGTTGCCTGCGGCGAGAGGGTGTACAGGGCTGCCAGGGAGGGCGGCTTGGTGGGACGTCGTAGAAGGTGGGCACGGGCACCTTCACAACCGTGCTTCATGTCCTCCAGAAGGGGAGTGCCAAGCAGCTCTGTTATCAGTTCCAGCTGCACACAAACACGTGGTAACACTGTCAGCCACTGATGAGCACCACCGTAGGAGCATTACACGCACCCTAATACAGTGAGCCACTGACAGGGACTACTATAAGGGTCTTCGAGAAAACAGAGGCAGAGTCGCTAGAGGCATGAAGAAACATGTGCTCCAGAGTGTCCTCTAATACATCGCTTTACGGAGAGAACAGCCTGAATGCTGCTAACAATGTGAAAACCTGATACCTTTACATGCCCTAATTATTCTAAAAGATGCTCCATTGGGAGATATTTGTTCAAGTGTGGCACTCAGATCTATGAAAAATTTTTATTCAGAGCAGGCACTGTCATAAAATAGAAATTATTAGCCATGGGCACTTTGAACGGTGGAAGGTTTGTGAGAACCCAACCACCATTTTTTTCCACAGCTGTACCACCTCTCAGTGTGAGGCAAAACACTGCATGTTGACTGAGTGTTTTCATTTAGCGTCTTGAAAAAGTGGCCTGAAAAGTGAGAAAAGCTGCAAAATCCTGTTGACAAAAGGCTTAAGAGAAGAACAGGATAAAATCGCCTTGCCCGGAATCGCGGTCGTTTGTCTTGACGGGAGAATCACCATTAGTCAGTCAGTCAATGAACTTTATTTACAAATTGTCCTGAGGAGCCGATTCCCCTCAAGAGGGAGGGTCGGCTGCGGGCCGCACCCACGTGGGGACAGGAAGAGCGAGCCCCTCCGTCAAATTGCGGGCCCTCTGGACAGCCCGGATTTGGACCTCTCGGTCCGAGCTGGTAATTGCCGTCCTCCAGGCAGCTTCTGTGCTGAGAGGCTCGCCATCGCGCAGCGCCGCGCATTGCCAGAGCAAGTGGGGTAACGTGCAATGTCTCTCTTCGCAATGAGGGCATTGCGGCTTTATGCTGTCGATAAACTTGCTGTACACTAAAGGCGACGGGTAAGTACCCGTTTTCAGCATTCTTAAAGTGACTGACTGGGCCCTAGAGAGTTGCGGGTGCGGGAGCGGAAAGCTACGCCTGGCCAATTGATAATTTTTGCAAATTTCGTTAAAGGTGAAGAGCGAATCAAGCTGCCGGATGCCATCCCCAAAATTAGATGCCGATTGCCCGTCACGGTGGGACAGTTCGCGTGCTCGGGCATGGGCAAGCTCATTGGCATTGGGGATAACAGGGTGGACATCCTTGCCCATGTGGGCAGGAAACCAGGTGATGTGGCCGTCGATTTCCGTGCAATGTGGTCTTTTGGTAAGAAGATGGGCCGCCTGCTCACAGACTGACCCGGTCATGAACGCTCGTGCAGCAGCTCGAGAATCAGTGAAAATGCGCTTGCGCATGGGAATCGCCACGGCCATTGCTATAGCAGCCTGCTCTGCCCTAGCCGGCGTGGTATCTCGAAGAGATGCTGCTGTGAGGATTTTACCGTGAAGGTCAGTGACCACAGCCACGAAATTGGATGTGCCGGGATACTGTGCTGCGTCAACGAACGCCACAAGTTCAGGGGTGGCAGCGGCGGAACTGAGGAGCGACCTAGCCCTAGCGGCCCGGCGGCCGACATTGTAGAGAGGGTGAACATTTCTAGGAACTTGTGAGACCGTAATCTGCTCCCTCAATTTGGGTGGAAGCTGTATCTTTTTGTCTGCTACCATAGTTGGTTCGCAGCCCAGAAACTCCAGGATGCGTCTCCCAGCTTTGGAAGAGGACAGTCGTGCAGCTTGTGCTGTTTGTTGCGCTTCTGCAATCTCACTAAATGTATTATGCATACCAAGAGCCTTGAGCTTTTCCTCATTTGTGTTGTTTGGAAGGCCCAAGACCCTCTTAATGCACTTTCGAATAATCGCATCCAGTTTCCCTTGTTCTTTCCTTTCCCACCTATGCGCTGCGGCAATGTAATTAATGTGACTCATAAGAAAGGCATGGAAAAGCCTCATGAGGTTGGCCTCACAGAGCCCTCCACGCCTGTTAGACACCCGAAGTATAAGCTTGACCATGCTCTCCGCCTTTGCCGCAATACGAGTCAGAGTATGAGAGTTACTTCCGTGCTTCTCCAGGAACATGCCTAATATCCGAATTTTATCGACACGGGGGATGGCCTGCCCTGACCGTGTGTGAATTTGGATCCTGATCTCTTCCGGCCAAAATGGAATAGTGGTGAACTTATGTATTACTTATGTATTACTTATGTACTGCAGCAGCAGTGAAGGTTAGCGAGACGGCGACCACGAAATTGTGCTCACCTGCTGGATGGGAGTCTGTGCCTGGAACAAGATGCGCCGTCCCAGCAGCTCGGCAAAGATGCAACCCACAGACCAGATGTCAACGGCCGGACCATAGTGACGGGCTCCCATGAGGAGCTCCGGGGCCCTGTAGTACTGAGTCACCACTTCTTGCGTCATGTGCCGCTGTTCATCCCGCTCCTCCAGACGAGCCAGCCCGAAATCGCAGATCTACACAATGAGGAAAGGTTTACGGCAGGAAAATCAGAGCCCGAAACTTCAGCTTATGGTGGTCTCACTACTACGCTTAATTTTAAATCAGAACGAAGAAGTACCACTCGTTTATACCCAAGTAACAAGCTAGACAACGAGATACCAGTAAATAGAAGTTTCCAAAGTGACTGAGAAACAAAGAAAAAGCTTACACTCTAGCAAAACAAAGTGATTCTTTTTTTTAATACACAAGTGAACATCAAGCCCAGCTGGAGTGCAAGTTAATTGCTTTTGTACCAATGCACCTCTGAGGTTACTCTGACCACTACCCTTTTTTCTAACAAAAGGCACTGTGGTTTAAAGACAATTTAGCACGAAAAGCAATTTCAAAGCAAACCAGCTGATCACAATGATGATTTTAATTTGTTCACTATATGTAGTTGCATGGCATGGTCTTGTAGTCCCGGAAACCTGCCTGCTTGTGCTCGATTGTCACTCCTACCACAATTACTATTTGAATGATTGTGCACGGAGTGACAGTGTCCGGCATGCCTTAATTTAAAGAGCCAGAAAACAACAATGTCATGTGAAATTTACGTTAAAGAAATGGCAGTAAACTTGTAACATGTGAACGAGCTGCCACAAAAATTTTGCAAATAAGTGCTGTAATAAGCAAGCTACAGGGCATAGAGCGCCTCGCTTTGGCTGGTTTCAGTTTCTTGCCAGGCTTTTCCTTTCTTCTCAGCAGCCAAGAAGAAAAAGTGTAGCCCTATCTCGTGCCCATTTCGGCAATCTAACACAATGTCAGCAATTACATCAATGGTGCATAACCAACGACCAAGCAAGGATGTCATAGCAGCGTAGGGAGGAAGAGTGGTGCGAGGCACTGACCAGATATGCGCTTTTCCCCTAGCGGTAAAAACACAGGAGGCTTTTGTTCCGGCAATAACATTTTTCTCAGTGCTATACCAAAACGGCAGAGCGCAGCACAGGAAAATGAAAATGCGGAGTGCGCTGCCAAAATGGCCAGACCTGCAACACCGCAGGGCCAAGGCGCCGTTTTGTAGTGTAAAGGACAATTGAAGTCAGTGCTTTGTAATGTTGCCCATGGGCAAGATAATGTCGCTTTGAGCACGAGGAGGGTTGGTCAGAAGCTGGAGAGAGGCATGGTAATTGTTTTTCGAAATGCTGTACGGCAATATTTGCGAAATGTGATTGTCAAGGCCCTCTGCATAGATAAGCAAGCTTGTCTAGAAAGTGCTCAAAAAATAGGTTGAAGCCTCTTTACTGGGCCTTCAACTAAAGTGGGAAAAAAAGTTTCACAACACGACAAGCTCACCTTAAGAACACAATTGCTGTTAACCAGGAGGTTGCCAGGTTTGATGTCCCGGTGAAGAATCCTTGAGGAGTGTAAATACTTGAGGCCTGCAGAATGAAGGAATTGATAAGTCTGTGCCACAAAGCATACACACGTGTGGAGAATACGAATGGAAGTTGCTGACTCACCTCTCAGTATCTGGTAAAGAAATACTTTCAAGTGATCCGAAGTGAGTGGCTGTGGAGAAACTATGATTTTGTGCAGATCACTTTGCATCAGTTCCGTTGTGACATATCTGTGCAGCTGTGGTCAAGGAAGATCTCATTGGCAGCAAAATAATGCAGCTGAGCAATCGGAAAACTAATGAAAAGGATGATAAACACATGTTCTACCAGTGTTCCCGCTGTAGTTCAGGACACACACGGCCATCTTGACTTGTTCAACATTCAATCACTTCAAAGCCTCCCACAAATGTGAGAAGGAAGCATATAAGGATTCAATTGATTGTTGGCAAACATTTGCAATGCACATTTGAACAAAGCAAGTACTGAAATGCGCTGATCCTCCGTGAACGCAAAGACCATACTACACCACTCACTAATGGTTGCTACACAGTTAACAGAATCCCACAACCAAGACAATGAAAAAAGGATACATTTCTTGAAAGAAATCCAAGTGTGGAGGCTGTAGGATATCCAGTGCAGACAAGACCTGCAAGGTGAAAAAATATTCTTATAAGCAAAAAGAACATTGACTCAGTCTAGCTGGCTCGAAGCAATGCACACCATGCTTTGAGAAAATATTTTATCCGGCAATACATGCAGTCCCACATATACACAGAACCTTGCAATCAGGGCGACTATTGTAAAGCAAGCGTACAAATTTATAGCACTAGGTACCTAACCACTATGACTGCTCACTGCGACCCACTGTGTACTATAGTATTGACATTCGGTAATGTCACATTTGCATAGAGGCTCTAGGTCTTAAAGGTGCACACTTGAAACCTTTACACTCATATCTATGCAGCTTTGCAATGAGTGCAATTCTGCCGAAATCAGTGTCCATGCAACTTGTGGCCTATTCACATTTTTGCGGGACTTGCACAGTTCCCAGTAGCACCAATTGTTGACGCAATGCTGCTGCAGTGTTTTGAATGTTGTCTTAATTTTATGGCAACAATATGTGCTATGAGGCTTTGGAATTGCCATGCTCACACTAGTGTTCAAACACTACAAAAAAGATAGAAAGCAAGAGCCTAACGCGCACACCTTTTGCCAAAGGGGGCGATGAGTGTTCCACACCTAGCACCTGCGCTACAAGCAATGCTGGCTAACGTTTCCAGGGTGCAAAAAAAAAAAGTGTACAAGGAAGTGCATACGGCCATAGCTCATTGATAGGGCATCAAAGATTGTTGTTTCAGATTCCACCAACAAAAAGGACTATTTTTCTTCCACTTCATTCCAATTCAGGTCAAATTCTCAAATTGTCTGTTTGATTGTGTAACATATAAACATGCCTCCAGGAAAAAAGTTCCCCTTCTTTTGTTGATGATTGATTGATATGTGGGGTTTAACGTCCCAAAACAACCATCTGATTATGAGAGACGCTGTAGTGGAGGGCTCCCAAAATTTCGACCACACCCATATCCCCTTCTTTTGTTCATTCTCTGCCAGGAATCACTTATTCTGCACTTACATTTTCGTGCTTGAAGAAGCAGAGCATCTTGATCTCTCGATAGACTCTTTTGCTGGAGACCAGGTTCTGGAAAACGTTGGGCATCTTTTTGAGGGCCACTCGCTTGCCATCTCGTGGGTCTGTGACCGACCTGCACAATAAGAATGAAGAGGCGTGCAGGGTCAGTGCTCATATTCAAGCCGTAACTTTTATAAACATAGTAACAACCATAGCGTTAAGTGCATTTATTGCAAATGAGTTGCCCCACTACACCGCCCGGCGACATCGCAGCAGACAAGTGCATAACCAGTTTATTGCTAGAAAATTAGGAGTGCCACAAACCAGCCATGCATAGACAGAAAAGGGGCAATGCTTTCCTATTGTACTTATCAGTTTGAAAGGCGCTTAAAAAGAAAGGAACAAGACAGCATGACAACTTCCAAGGATCACATTGCTAATTTTAAAATATGCCCATAATGATGTCTGGTTTCTCAACAGCGTTACGCAATTCTTATAGAAAAGCATGGCACGTGCTGTCAGCAGCGTAAGGGGCCCGTCGGAAGTTTCCAACAGGAAGTCCCCTGGCACAGTGTAGTGTGACCCACATTTTTCACAGGCCAGCTTGCCTGTTAGCAGTGCAGGATCCTGTCCGGATAAGAGAGAAAGAGAGGGGGGGGCTCCCCGCTAAGACGGAACAGCAAGGAACGCGCCCTGACGAGCTTTAACAAACGCCCTGCCAAGTCCCACGCCATCTCTCATACGCGGGCGGCCGCGTATTTCAGCGAGAACCCACGATGGCCAGCTCAAGAGGCGTTATTTATTTCCTTGTCCGGTCTCTCCAGACAAGGGGAGGTGATGCCGAGACGCATAGCAGCAGCGTGTTGTGTGTTGTAGCGTACATCATGCGCGACGGCCAGTGGTCATACGGCGGGCGTGGACCGTCACTGGCCGAGCGCTCCATCAAGCGGGTACGCAACGTAGGCGCGGCGCGCAAGCCCGCAGGAAGGAGACAGGGCCGCCGTAGGCAGCCGCAAACGGGGATTGGCTCGACAACGCGGCAACAAGGAGCCACCACCGGCCTTCCAAGCGAGCAGGACGCGAAGGAAGAAGCGAGCAAACTAAATGCTCCGCCGCACGTTGTGGCACTTGGGGGAAGGGAAACGAACAAACCGCAAAAGAACGGCCCGCGAATAAAAGATTGCGTATACAACCTACGTAAGAAGCAGCGCCGCGAGGCACGGTAAGGCCAGGAAGGGTTGGCGGCGGGGCGAGAAGGGTGCCGCGCGCAACAAAATCTGTGACCCAGAGACGCGAGTGGAAAATGTGGGTCAAGGGGCTTTCTCCCACTTAGTGGGTCAGCGGGACGAGCTCCTCCTCCTCGCTGCTGCCGAAACGACGAGGTAACCAGGCGCGCTCTCCGGGCGCCTGCTGCCAGGGATGATCGCATCCTCCCTGCTGATGCCTCGAGCCTTGACGAGACACGCGACCGCCGACACACGCGGAAGTTGGCGCGCTCGAAAGCACGGCAACGAAGGCGGGCCGTGGTTCGGGTAAGAAATAGCCGGGGCCGAGCACCCGGCGCGACTCTGCGGGAAGTGGAATTAAAGGAGGGAGGAGAGACCTGGAAAAACCGGAAGACTGAGCAGTACCGAGCACGCGCAGGACTTCCAGCTGACAACGTCCAGCAACAAAGCACAGCAAACAGTGCACGGCGTGCGCACTCCTTCTCTCGGGCATCGTTTAGTTACGCGCTGCTTGCATCAAAAATGGAATTTCCACCAGCTCGCCCAACTGACCTTCCGGCAAAGGGGGATATATAAATTGTCCCGTATAATGAAAAACCGGCTTCGCGTACACCAAATGGATCGGCGAAGGCGGAGTCGATCGACATTTAATTGTCGTGGGATATGGCAACCCACATGCTCTCGCCACCGAATGGCCGCGACGGAGGAAACAGTGTAGAAGACTCGGCTACTGCGAATGATGATAAAGCGACGCTTTCCCCGTCGACAGGACGCGGCGCTACTGGAGAAAAGGTCGGCACGGGGCTTCGCAAAAAGATGATCGAGCACCGTGCACAGTAGGCAGCGGGATCCACATGCTACCGGAGCGATTATACGGATTAGCGGCGACGCTTCGCAACCCGAATGCCATTCGAAAAGGTCGTGCACAAAGGTGCCAAATAATTACCGGATAGAGAGATGATGATGACAACTAAGCAAGGACTTCGTTCAATTACGCTTCTATTGAAGGTTCGTTTGCAAGTTGAACCGTAATTGGCAGTAGAAAACAAACATTTATATTAAAACTCCCAGACCAACCACCATGAAATTTATCTGACACGTCTGAATTTATGTTCTCAAAACATATATGTCTATCGTTGACAGAACTGAGATTTGGTCAAGCGTGGCAAACAGACACGTCAAGCAACGTATAGGAGCAACAGAACAGGCACCTTCGCTTCAAAACTAGACCTCCATGTCACGGCGGTTGTAAGCTGGAGCAGCTACTGCTACCAGTGACGCAGCTGGAATGTTTATATGTCGCATGAGTGCAGACACATACAAACATACGCAACGTGAAAGGCTGGTTGAACCTACACCTCCCCCTCGCCCCGAAAAAAAAAATCTGCCTACAGCCTTAGCAACTACTACCAAAGGGAGAACCCACTACCCCGAATTCGTCAGTCTTGCACGCGTATCGCGCAAAACTGAATCACAAGCGCACATACAAACGAACGTACGGATATTTTCTGGTAACGCTACTGGTACCAAGGGTACACCTGTCGATGTACTCGTATAGCAGCAGTAGCAGCAGCGAAAACTTTAGGGGGAAAAAAAATTAAAACAGCGACTTCCTCCTCTCATCCAGTGAAACGCAACTTCGGCGGCGCTGGTGACGGTCGTGGGGCCAAGGCACGTCACGCTGCGCCCAAAAACCTCCGCCGGCGGCCCCGCGGCTAATTTCCGCGGGTGCACCGACCGAGGAGGAGGTTGTGTGCCGTTTGTCCCGCCAGAGCAGCAGCAGTCGGTCGCAACGTGGTCGCCGAATAAATCACGCACCGAAAACTGCACGCTCCGACAACGGTGCGAGACAAGATAAATGAGTTCTCCCGCGGGTCAACAAAGAAGAACAGAGGCGCAGTGAAAATGTCCGTCCGGCTTCGGCGGTTCCACCGCTGACCAGCGTATTTACATATGACCACCGATGGCGCAATGAGGACGCCCAAAAGATACGACACTAAATCAGACTTGACAGGAGAGAGAACATCACTCTTCGGAAAAACTGGCTCGGCGTTTCCTCGCCGGCTATTAGCGTGTTCAAACAAGTGGGCCCGCGCGTGAAAGTGTCCGCAGAATTATTTCTTACCGTGTTTGCATAATATTTTTTTCTCGCGTTTCTTTCGCTCGTCATTTTTTTTAGTTTCTTGTTAGAGTAGCTGCTTATTATAATAACTATGCTTAATATCCGAGGACATCCCGCTGCAAGCTTTGGCTTTTACCTAAGTCATATGGGCACCGCAATCTTGGGCTGTTAAGCTGATGTTTTCCCGTTGTCTTTTTGTGTATTTTGTGACATGAATTATTCAGGCCATAAAACATATCATGCACCAACCTAGCAGTTTTCATGCGTATGCGTCTGCCGAAACACTGTTCCGTTTGGTGGTTAAAGATGCGAAACACAAAAGATAACAGCCCGATACGGCGGCATTGAAACACATCTGTAAAATATTCTATATATCTTGATTTTATAGACGGAGAATCAAATCACGTTGAGAAGGCCCGCATCTTTCTTCGCGCATTCCCCCTCCCCCCGTTCCCCTTTACACAAGTGTCTCCTACATCTACGACTTTCTTCAAGAGTAGGGTCATTTACAACGTTCCCATTTTTTTATCAAAATAGTTTCGTTCTAACTAACTAAAGACAGCTCTCGTGAAACCATGACGAATGGTCCGCACGGCCGACTATACTTCAGAAAACAATCCACAGAAGCAACACGGGGCTTCCGACGCACATATTCCGAGGATTCGACGCGCATGTTATAATAATACCATGCACAGTAGTCGCGCGGCTTATAAAAGGAATCGGCGTTTATTCAACAGAGAGCTACGCCTGGAACGAGGCCAAACAAGTTGGCACGAAACGTGCTTTCCCCGCGGGCCGAAAAGCCTGGACATCTGGTATGCGCATGTTGCAACGGTCGAATGAGTAGTAGTTTAACAGTAGACGTACTATACTACTACTACATGCACTGCGCGCAGTGAAGTCGCGCAGACAAGGAACGCACCGGGCAGGCTTCTTCCCTTCAAAGGAAGAAAACCGTTCGAGACGGAATCCTTTTCGGCGAAAAGAGCGGGGGGAGAGCTAAAGCCTCTTAATGTTAGGAAAAAGAACGAGACAGACGACAAAATAAGGGACCCTATAGGGAAAGAGGCCACGCCGGGTGGGATACCGTGTACATTGTTTGAGAACATGGAGGATTGGGGAGGCTGAACACGCTCGCGATGGAACGCTCGCCGACATTCACGGAAGTATACAGCGTCGCCTACACTCGCCGGTTCGGCAACCAATGTTGTTTTTGGTCACTTCAATGCACGCTACAGCGCTGAGCCAAAAGGAACCAAACGTCTTGCGTACCTATACGCGAGTGAGCTGCCAAGATAGCAGGGTAGACCAAGAATTCAATGTGCTGTGTCGTTAACGCAGCTTCGCTTTGCGTATAGTCTTTCGACGAGGTGTGAAACGGAGGATGAAGGCATTACTTTATTTAACAGAGAATAGAACAAAGGAGCCCTGCATGTGTCCTACTCATTGTTGGAGATTCGGAGAACCACTTGATCGTTGGGAACCAACAACCAAACGATCGCGACTGAACGTGACAGACATGCTGCAGGACACGGCGCGAAGACAATCTCGGGCCTCTAAAAAGTCGTCGCGGTATATATACGGAGCTTGCGACAGGAGCAGAAAGACGGTGGGCATCAGAGGCGGGTCCCCTATAGTGTTCGAATGACTTCGCGCGATGACTGGCTGCGATGGAGAAAGGAAGAAGAAAAATGGCCGCCTCATCTTTCAGATGCGCAGACAGAGACGAACACAATAGACTGCGATACGCCTCGCGTTTCGCAGGAAATGCATTGGAACACCAAC